CGCCAGCGACTCACGGCAGCCCTGGGCTGGGAAATTATTGTTCTCATACTTCAAAAATCAAACTTAAAAAATTTTATTACCGGGCCGGCCGAGTGGCGTGATGGTTAAGAACTGACTTGGGATGCCAGAGGGCCCCGGTTCGGATCCCATATATGAGGGCCAGTGACACTGCCCTCTACAGCTAAGATGCTGAACAACAGCTCAGCCTGGAGCTGGGTTGCCGTGAGTCGCTGGCGACGGCGTAGGCTGCAGCCCCTGTGGCAGTGGGTTGCCATGGGCTACCGTGTGTAGCTGGCAGCCAGCGTGAGCGGCCAGCAGCCACAGTGAGCAGCCGTCCAGAAGCCGGCGACTGATCTGCCTCGCCCAGGAAGAGTGCAATGACGGTGCCAATTTGGGCCAGTGAAGCAACGTCCTCCACAACTAGACTGAAGAACAAAAGGGCAGCCACTTGTCTGTTCCCCTTCCCCCAATTCCCCAATAAAAAATCTTTAAAAAAAATTTTACTACCAAAAACTCTAATTATGAAAATTCTAATAATAATGGTTTTCCTATTTATTCCTGTGCCCTAGAAGTTTATTCTATGATAGTGATATTCCACTTAAAGGATCAGGCTCATATTGATCTTTACATCTGGCTACTGAACATCTGGTACCGCTTCAAGCTGATCATGTTATATGTGGTTTCAGGTCTGAATCTGGGGGTTCTTTCTGAAATGCTGCCTGGGCTGCTAATGGTATTTCTTAAGCTGTCCTGACCTCTTTGGGGACGTGAAGGGCTCCCTGTCCATCTTTGTCTAATCCTTAGAGGCTCCTTCAAAGAGAGGAAAAGCAACCTATCTGGCTGGTGAGACAGGGAACCGAGAAAGCACAGTGGGTCCTCAGGGCCCCCCTTCATGGTCTCTTTTATTTCCTTGACTTTCCTTACCTCCTTGGGCTTGACCCTTTTCTCTTGCTCCCACTCCTTTCCCTCTGCTCTCCCACCTGCTGGGGATATGGCAGGCCCCATTCCTGGCAGCTGGCCAAACTTGTGGGCCTTGCAGGTTGCTCTGAAGACAACCCCACACATGTGCTAGAAATAAATTCTGAGTGAGGCAGTAGGCCTAGGTCTTGGCTGCATTCTCTAACAAAGTTTACCCAAAACTTTGCACTTTAAAAGCCACTGGCTTCTTGCATGATGGTTGATAAAACTAAGCCTTTGATTACCACTTGGCTAACACCCTGGAAAAGAGGAAAGGTGAGTCTGACTCTCATCCCAATTTGATTTACCTGAGAAAGAAAATAGGCGGCTGTCCACGGTCCTGGCGATGGACTGCAGCTTCACCACATCCATCGACTGCCCAATGTGTACAGTGCTGGGCATGCTCCCCAGAGTCCCTCTCACAAATTCTGCCACCTCCTGCACGGTGAACATTTGCAGCAGCTCGTCAAAGATGGTTGGGAAGGAGTTGAGGAGTGCAGCCTGCAGAAGCAAGTGAAACTGTGCTTAGCTCAGAGTTGGGGGTGTGTCTATCTTGCATGCTCAGACAAAGATACAAGGTGGTGAGAGGTTGAGACAGCATTGCAGCACCTGTGCCTTGGGTGGGCTCCTCCCTGGCCTTTGACCCCACCCATCCCTGCAGCACTCTTGGGACATGGAGCAGCGAGAACCAAAAAGGAAATCGAAATAAGAGAACTGACTGGGGTCCAGGCCACTTGGAGCTTTCATAACTTGCTAAGGCATCTGCTGGCAAGAGAAGGGAATATAAAGAGACATCACCTCAACATGGCTTAACAGCCGCAGTTGTTTTTGCTCATAAAATGGATTTAAACTTTTTATCTGTCTCTATTATCAAGCTCTCCAATTTTGGACCCAAACTCAAGCCAAGAGCCTCTCAAAGAAAGTATGGCAGAGAGAGCTAAGCACCTCCAAGCAGCACTAGCTGAAATCTGCTCAGAGCCCTGGAGCCGGCAAGGCAGCTGAGAGCTGGACCATTTTGCCAGAATGGAGGTATTTATTTGGAACAATGAAATCTGAAGACTTTGTAAATTATTTCTTTCATATATGATGCCTGGCAGTCTCAAGTGTAAATCCAAAGGATGGAGAATGTGTAGATTTAGTCAGTCATGAACTCTGGAGGACTTCTGGTGATGGTGGCATAGATTTCAGTGACCTAGGTGGCCTAGGAGTGTGTGTGTTTGGAGACTTCTCTTCTAGGATCTCAGCTCTGATAGACCTGTGAGGTGGCCTTTTGAGGACAACCTGATAATAATTCCAGAACTTGTGAGTGGCAGAGTAGTATAGGAGAAAGAGAATGAGCTTTGGAATTAGACATGAGTTCAAATTCCAGCTTTACCAATTATTTGCCACAGAACCTTGGGTGAATTATTGCCTAATCCTCAGTTTTCTCAACTATAAAATGGGATGATGCTATTGCTTATCTCCTGGCATGGGTATGAGGAAAAAGTTAGGTGCATAAAGTTCATTTCCAGTAGAGTGCCTGGCACACAATAGACCTTCAATAAATGCCGGTTCTCATTCTTCTCTGTCGTCTAAATGGAAGCAGCAGAAAGGAGGCTTTTTCCACTTCTCAGTCCTCTTATACTATTAACCCAAGATTTACAAAGGGAAATGGAGTGTCATCGTGAGATAAAAAGGTGAGATGCACTCTTCCTAAGTGTCAGGGAGAGGTGTGGAGGCTGTTTTTCTTGACTGCTTCATCAGTAGACATTGATCTAGAGTGAAGACTTATACCACAGGGAAACAGGTCTGTCATGCTGCAGTCTATGTCCAGGCCTAAGCACAGGACTTACATGAATTCTGTCTGAAGATTTATAACTCCCTGAGATATCAAGGAGGTTATTTTGCAGTCATTAGAACCAGCACAAAAACATTATCACAAGCAGCTAGATAAGAAAGACGAAGGGGGGAAAGCAGGCATTTCACAACCAGTAACAAACAGCAGCTGACTGGCTCTTAAATAATGAAACCTCCTATACTTATGCACCAGGACACAAGGACGCTTGCACCCTAACATCTCCTTGTGGTCAGAATCAATCAAAAGACATAAAGTCTGACTGAACAATGTAATCAGTGAGCTTTCTGAAACTCATGAAGCATGAGCCTGGCACCAAAGAAGCACATCTGATCCTGACTCAGGTCTAAGTTGAGACTAGATCTCAGCTAGTTACCCTGATGTGGCAAGAGCAGGCTATTGAATCCAGGGCACTGTGGAGTTCTCAGAAAGCATATCTGCTTTGCTCTACTAGCTAGCTCTGAGCTCCCCCTGTCTCTGCAGGCTGAGCGAAGTCGTCCTGGGCCCCTGTTGGCAGGAACAGATGGGCTGGGGGAGAGAAAAGTGGGGGAAGATGAACTGTTTGGGGTACTTAGGAGGGCACACCACAGAAGGAGCCTTTCTAACAGAGGCATCTGGCATCCCTGAGGTAGCCCCACTTTTTATAGAGTCGAGCTCCTGGTTGCTCACCTGTTCTCTGGGCCAAGGGGCCTAAAAGCAATTGGCATCGAAGGGAAACACAGAGCCAAGTGGAAAACAAAAACAGTAGACTCTTCCAATCTTAAATGAGATATTTAAAGATACATTTGCACCCATGACAGTCCTGGCAGCGACTGAATGAAAGGACATGAGAGAGGCTATCCGGTCTTTGCTGACAGATGTAATAACTGGCTTCAAAAAATCAGAGAAGTGCAACCCATTAGATACAATTCTGACATTTACTTGTAAGAGAAAATAACCCCCTTGTGACAGGTTATTTGGCCAATATCCTTGATCCTTTCTAGGGTGAGACTGCATGGGAAAGGTAATAGATTAGCTGACCAGACATTTTTAATATAAGCAAGCAAATTTCCTTACTACACTGGCATTTCTAATAGAATCTAATTCTAATTACTGACTAAAGTTTTCTAGTTATTTCTGCTGTTTTTCAACCTATTTCACTTTTAACTGCTGGAATGGACAAGTACTAAATTTTTTAAAATTAATACAGTGACTAGATGAAATGCTCTATATATTTTAAATGTCCTCTGTAAGTAAGATGTTCATAAACTACTAAAAGATGGTAGCTAAATAAATGTGGTCTAAGGAGGGTTCCTTAGAACAAAGTTGTGCTTCTTCTCGGCCATGACGCCATTGGGCTGTTTTATATTTGGTAGCTGGGCCTAACTGGCTTTGAAGGAAAAGCAGCGTTTCATTCTATTCAATATTTCCTCATAAATTAGCCCTTAGCCAACACACAGGGGCTGGCAGGGCTTCTTTGACTCTGGAAGCCAGAGGACAAAGAAACCACCTGCTAACAAAGACAGGAATCCAGCAGCAAAACTTCCCTGCAGTTCACAGACCTGAGTGAATAGGAGTGTCTCTGAGTTTCTGCTGTCCAGACTGAGCACAAATCGGATGGACTGGAAAAGTTCTTGGATGCTGGACCGGAATTGCTCCTCTTCCATCCCACAGGTGGCTCGTGAGTACAGGATCCTTGACTGCACGATGAACTTGAAAAGATACTCCAAGGCCTGGACGTGTGGGAGAAAAAGGGATGGAAAGGAATTCAAGATAGCCAGGACCTAACATAGCAGGGAATGAAGGGCAAAGTAATAGCCAATTCTATAATAAATCAATTCCAACTGTAGAGACAGCACTTCATTTATTTTTTAATACTTTTCTCAAAGTCCAAATGGTCACTGAGCAGCAGTGGTTTTCTTACTGAGAGAACCATCAAATTACTTCACAACTGTTTTTTGAGATTCTGGAATTGAGGAACCACAGACTGTCATGGAAGCAGCTGAATCTAAGCACACACAGGATTGAAAGAAAATTCAGCTTCTCTGCATTTATTTTTCAGGTCTGGAGCTAAGCACCTCTCCAAAGGCAATGATGTAAGAACCTCTCCTGAATTTATTCCAAAAAGGAAGAGTCCTTTAAGGCATCGTCTGCATCTTTGAGATATAGCTGGGGTCTGACAGTGGCAGCCTTCTCACCAGGGGTCAAGGCTAGAGAAAACCTGCCCCAGGTTGCATAGCAGTTGGTGGAGTGACACATTCACTCTCCACCCTTCTTCCAGACTGGATACCTGCCATAAACAGTACACTAACAGTACAGAAGACGAAGTTCCCAGAACACATTTTGGAAACGGAATCTGATTTTAAGGAGTCTCTGCAGCTTGGCCCATGCTTATGAGCAGAATAACTCACTTTTAAAAGACCAGATTCAAGATCCAAGACTATGCTTTCTAATCAAAGAAATGCCACATATTGCCCAGACACTGGGAAGGCAGACACTAGGGAGAAACTTATCCAAGGATGAAACAAATGGAGCTCAGTTACTTGAAATACATAACAGGAAACAATTCCCAAGGTACTTTTCATGATCTATCCATGTCAGGTTTGGCAAAGCAAAACTCTGCGCGCGCGCGCGCGCATGTGTATGTGTTTGTGTGTGTCCCACACAAAATTCAGCTGGCACTAGAGAATGGCGAGTTCAGAAAAACGTCTTTCGAGGCTCGCACCAGGAGACTGCGTGGAAGTTACAGTGTATGGATGGCCTCATCTCCATAAAAGCTATAGCCTCCGTTCACTGGCCATTTAATTCCTGGTCTGTGAAGAACCTGGAAAGTCTGCACTACATGTTCTCATTTTTAAAAAGCAAATGTTTTCCTAAAAGTTATTACAACCTTTCTATCAAAGAGATCCACTGTGCCCTCTCTTTCCTCTTCATGGTTCCCCCATAAGGACCCGAGATAGCTCAGCAGTGAGAAGTGTGCTGTCCTTCCAGAACACCTTGCTGAACGCCATCCTCAAACCCACCAAGGACACCCCCTACAGGTCATTCACAAGGGAACGAATCATAGAACCAAGGAAGAAAATAAAGGACTCTTTTATGTTCATCTTCTTTAGTGGTAGAACTGTCTTAGAAAAGCCATGACTCAGAAAGTGAAAGGAAGAGATGGGACTAGAATGGCAGATGCAGTGAGTCAGAGTAATAAAAGGGAGGAGGTTTCCTGGTCCACACCACGTGATGAAAGGTGCCCGGCCAGGAGCACACACATCCTGTGAGGGAGGAGAACTACAGAGTTGTATGGGTACTTACTGGTTTGGTCAAGAGGACTTGTAAACTGAAACTTGATGAAGTCAGGGAAAGGGCCCGATAAAGCCACAGTACTGGGTGCGGTAGTGTTGGATGTCATGCAACCAAGTTTGAAATGCTAAGAACAAGTATGAAGTACTTCTGTGGAAGGTGCTCCCCCAAATGCAACTCTTCCTTTTCCCCACCCAAACCGGGTCTTCTCCAGGAATTCTGCACTGTCATCAACCCAGCTGACCTAGCCAGGCCCCGTGGAATCAGTCTCCATTCTTCCTTTCTGTCACCTCCCACATCCAATCTAACCTTTGAAAACCGCTGTTTTGGTCACATCACATCAGCCACTTTTTGGCTGCTTGAAAACACAAGCTCTTTCCATCCAGGCTTTTCAACATGCTGTTTCCTCCATCTGAAATGCTCGTCCCTAGCTCTTAACACTGATTTCAGCTCAGAGGTCACCTCCTCAGAGAAGCTTTCCCTACAATCTTCATCTGAAGTAAACCTTGCTCACCAGCCACTCTATTCTGGCTTATTTCCTGGTTTACTTCCTTTATACTCATCAAGTTTTCTTTTTTCCACTAACTTTGTATATTTTCCTGTTTTACATGTTAATTGCCTGTCTATCCACTTGAATGGAGGTGCTATGAAGGCCTAGCCTTTGCAGCTTGGGCCCCTGCTGAATCCCCAGGGGGCTAATACAGCGCCTGACAAATGGCAAATATCAAGCAATATTGACTGAATAAATGACTAAATGAATAATTCTTTTTTTTTAAATGAATGATTCTTAAGAGAAAACAGCTTCTTCTGTGATGCCTTCTCCAGTATCCTTAGCTAATTAATTTATGGACTCATAAAATCTTTTGCATTTAACTCAACTTTTACCGCGCNCCCCCCCCCCCCGATATTATGCAAGGTACCTGACAGATCCTAGTGTTCAGAGAAGAACAGAACCCAGGTCCTTCCCTCACGCCACATGCAGGACCCTGCTCTACACCTGTTTGTGTGTGTGTGCTTCCCCTGGGACACTGGACATGTGTTCTTCAAGGGAGAGGCCTGTCTTACTCCTCTTCATATCTCAGCACCCATGATAGATGCTGATTCTCTATAGACATGTACTGTATGAAGGAGAATGGAAATGAGACTTGTAGCTTCAGACTTTTACAGAATATGCAAAGAGGAAGCAAGGAAAACACAGATCTATGATTTCTTTTGCCTCTTCAATCTGATGCTGCTTGGGGAAACATCTGTTTTACCTGTTACCATGTGGACAAGAACAACAAAATTGCAGGCCCAGTGGTACTTAGGACAGATGATGTGATATGAAAAGAGAACAGAGAAAAAGCAGAATTACTTGGCTGTCATTCTTCTTTTATTGCTAACTAGAAAGGGCAGGAAAGACATGGTTAAAAAGCAACTAAAACAAAAGTAACTCAAGAACAAGAAAAGATGGGCATGAAAGGAAGAAAGCATGGACTTGCTTTATGTGAGTCCCCAGAGGCTATGGCAGCTTTCTTCCAATAGCTGTCTGGAGAACTGCTGAGCAAAAGTGGGGTCAACACTCTCATAGGTCGTTCTCTAGAACAGGAGCAGGAGCCATGAAAAGAAGTTACTAGAAAGTGAAGTGGACTCACAATGAAGATGGTCATAGAAATGGGAGCTGCCCAACAATGTAAAGGGCTGCCAAGGGCTGCCTTGTCATGGAACCTGTCTAAGCAAGGGTGTTGCCATGAGGGATGCTGGGTTTCTCCCAAGGTCAAGGTTTTAAGGTTATCTTCTCAACATATCCACTCAGCATTCCCGTGCATCCACTCAGCTCTCTTTACTTAAAACAGTTTTTAAAAACAATGTTTAGTAACTACTGAAGAAGGAAAAAGTATCAGAAGATCTTAATTCTAATCCATGTTGCTACCAACGCTGCCTTAGAAGGAGATATAAAACATTAGCCAGTGGAAGCAAAGGCCAATGCTGTAGGCAAAACACAGAGAGGCTGGCCAGGAGCCATGTGCATTCCTCTCTCCTGCTTTAAGATGATGACATCATCAGGAATAAGTATCTTCTGGGGCCAAATCGAGGTAGGAAAGGGGAATTATGTGGTCCAAAGCATTCCCGAAAGCAGGCTAGCGTACTGGATGTCTGCACTTGTTCTGCACACTACACCGCTGGGGTTACTCACAAATGACAGCAGGGGTGGGTCATTTGCGTACACAAGCTCAGTACGTTACCCGCATGGCTTCCTGAATGTGGTCCTGCCGAATCAGTTCTGCTGAGCAGTCCATGTACCACTTCAAACAGCGGATGAGCTCCCTGGGAAGAGAACAATTCCAGAAACCCCACTTTAATCCACGAGCAATGCAGCCTGAAATGTTTGCAGCCGTGAACCGGCCACACAGGAAATAATATCCTGCTGATGAGCTAGAATGGAGTGATGCATCCATTATAGCTGTGGGATCTTCGGGTCATCGGAGACCAGACAACACTCTTTGTCCATAAACAGTTGCTACACTTTAATTAGTAATTATAATCACTCTTTTCCACTCTCCCTGGCACACATTTCTTTGATGACAAGACAGTTTTCCCAAAGTCTTGGTCTGTATGTGTATTTTTGTTTTGTCTAAAATTGCTGTCTCTACAACATACAACAATGACTAATAAATGGTAGACTCCGAATAAAGGTGTAGACTCCTTTGTGCCCATCTTTGCTTGACCTTCATCCCATCTATTTTATTTCCTTAGGCCCAAGTCACCTGAGTGAAATGGAATTACTGGGTCAGAAGGCCTGCACATTTACATGGCAATAGAGCACAGAGGTCAAGTACAGGCTCTGGTCAACAGCAAGGTTCATATCTGAAGCCTATCAGTTTGTAGCTCTGTATCCTTGGGCAAGTTATTTGATCCCTCTATGCTTCTTTCTCTTTGTTTAAAATATGGACGAAACAATAGTACATCTCAAAGTTATTGGGAATACTAATGAGATGACACGTGTAAAACACAGAGCACAATGCCTGTTCTCCAAAGTAACATCAAAGTGTCACAGTTCCAGTGACTATAGCCTTACTGCCCTTGGGTTGTATTTATTTTTTTGAAAATTGTGCTAACTCCATAGAAGAAAATGATGACTTTTTAAAAGCTGCTGTAATTATTTTACATAACCTGTTTCCCATGTTTACTATTTATATTATCTCTTTTACCAACTGTCTTTTTATTTCTTTGACATTTATTTGTGAGTGCTCTATTTAGCTATTCACATGTTTCCCATGGAAAAAGCAAGACTTATTTTTAGCATTTTGCTATCATTTCTTAGAAGAAAAAGTATGACAACTATGTAAGAAACTACGGTTTAAAATGTCAACTGAAAACCTACAGCTAACATCACGCTCAATGGTTAAAGACTGAAAGCTTTTCCTCTAAGAGCAGGAACAAGGCAAGGATGCCCGCTTTTGTCACTTTTATTTATCATAGCACTGAAAGAGCAATTAGGCAAGAAAAAGCAATAAAAGGCATCCATATTGAAAAGGAAGAAGTAAAATTATCTTTGTTTGCAGCTGACATGATCTTATATGGAGAAAAACCTAAGGATTCCACAAAACTACACTTTCAAACTAATAAACAAATTCAGCAAAGTTGCAGGATACAAAATCAATATACAAAAATCAGTTGCATTTCTACACACTAACAATGAGCAATCCAAAAAGGAAATTAAGGAAACAATCTATTTACAGAGGCATCAAAAACGAATAAAATACTTAGAAATAAACTTAATCAAGAAGGTGAAAAACTTGTACTCTGAAAACTGAAAAACATTGCTGAAAGAAATTTAAAAAGATGCTAATAAATGGAAAGACATCTATATTCATGGATTGCAAGACTTAATACTGTTAAGATGTGACTACTACCTGATGTAAACTACAGTTTCAATGCAATTTGTATCAAAATCCCAATGGCATTTTTTGCAGAAATAGAAAAATCCATACTAGAGTTCAGATGTAATCTCAAGGGACCCCCAAATAGCCAAAACAATCTTGAAAAAGAAGAACAAAGTTAGAAAAGTCACATTTCCTGATTTCGAAAGTTACTACAAAGGTACAGTAATCAAAAGTTACAGTGTAAGGGCCGGCTGAGTGGCTCAGTTGGTTAAGAGCTCGCTTAAGAGTGCGAGCTCTGAGCAATAGCGGTTTGAGTCCCGGCCCGAGCTGAGCAGCCGCTGAGCTGCCAACAGGTGGCAGGATGGCTCAGCTAAAAAAAAAAAAAAAAGAGGAAAAAAAAAAGTCACAGTGTGGTACTGACATAAAGACAGACATATACACAAATAGAATAAAATAGTCCAGAAATAAACACTTGCATACAGTGAAATTATTTCTAACACCGGTACCAGGACCATTCAATGAAGGAAAGAACAGTCTGTTCAACAAATTATATTGGAAAAACTAGATATCTACATGCAAAAGAATGAAGTTGGACTCATATTACACAATAAACAAAAATTAAATCGAAATGAATCAATGACCTAGATGTAAGAGCTAAAACTATAAAACGCTTAGACAAAAACACTGGGGAAAAGCTTAATGACATTGGATTTAGCAATGATTTCTTAGAAGCGACATCAAAAGCACAGGAAACAAAATTAAAAAAATAAACTGACCATGTCAACATCGATAACTTCTGTGCATTAAAGGGCACCATCAGCAGAGTGAAAGGCAACAGGAGAAAATATTTGCAAATCATATACCTGATGAGGGGTTAATATCCAGAATATATAAAGAACTCTGACAACTCAACAACAAAAACCAAACAACCTGATTCAAAAATAGGCAAAGGACTTGAATAGATTTTTCTCCACAGAAGACATATAAATGGCCAATAAGTACTTGAAGAGATGCTCAACATCACTAATCATTAAGGACACACAAATCAAAACCATAATGAAATACCACCTCACACCCACTAGAAAGGCTACTATAAAAAAAATCCCAAAATACACATACACACAAATACGCAAAATAGAAAATAACAAGTGCTGGAGAGGATGTGGAGATACTGGAATCCTTATGGACCGTTGATGGGAATGTAAAACAGTGCTGTCACTATGGAAAACAGCATGGTGGTTCCTCAAAACATTAAAAATAGAATTACCACACAATCCGTATTCCGTTTCTGGGTATATACCCAATAGCTAAAAGGTGGAAGCAGCCCAAGTGTTCATCAATGCATAAATGAACGAATGGATAAGTAAAATGTGGTATACACATACAATGGAATATTTTTCAGCCTTTAAAAGGAAGGAAATTCTGATAAATGCTACGGCAAAGATGAACACTGAGAACATTATGACAAGTGAAATAAGCCAGACACAAAAAGACAACTATTGTATAATTCAATTTATATTAGGTACCTAGAATAAGCAATTCAAAGAGACATAATAAAAAATAAATAAAACAGACAAAATATAATGGTGGTTGCTCAGGGGCTGAGGGAAGGGGGAAATGGGGAGTTATTGTTTAGTGAGGAAAGAGTTTCAGTTTCAGATGAAAAGAGTTGGGAGATGGATGGTGGTGATGGTTGCACAGCAACATGAATGTGCTTAATGACTGAGCTGTACACTTAAAAATGGTTAAGATGGATAACTTTGTAACGTGTATTTTACCACAATTAAAAACGTAAGTGAAGTTTGAAAAAAAGGTCAACTGAATGAATGGTGACCTTGTTTTTAGCTTCTTACTTGTATGCCAGGGCTCCAGCGAAGTGCTTCTGGATGTATGTGTCCATTACAGGCCGGAAGTGGAAATACTTGATGTCTCTGAGCAGGTTGATGATGAATACCTGGGAGAGACGGAGGGTACCAGGGTTCATTGAAGGCCTCAGACCTATCCCCAGCAGAAAACAGAACTCTTGCTTCTTCAAGGAATGGCAAACTGTGAGTACTTTCTCTAGTGTCCCCATTGGCAGTGCACGTAAGATTTCCATTCTGTGTGTGGATTTCTAACTTGTCTGTTCTGTTCCTACCACCGCTGGACTCCCAATCCAGACTTGGGGCTCATCTGTCTGTGTCAGTGTTACCCTGATCCTCTCCCTTCACAGTAATTCTGGGTGGTACAACACAGGGGAAGGCAAAAGATACCCGTGTAAGTGGCATAAATACCATGGCATCAAAAAAGTTGGAAAAATGAGGACAAAAAAGATTGTCCTTAGAGCCAAATTAGCCTATGAAAGGCTGTGTCCTTCAGAAATGGGGCTGGCCGGTCAGGGAAGTGAGGAAGAAGAAAAGCCAAAGGGGCAAACTATGCGAGTGCCATTCTAACTCTTGCCTCCGCTCCTCATCTGTCAGGTGGACTTGGAGTATCTGGTTCTCCTGTGGGGCTGGGTATGTGAAGCAAAATGCACTACACGTTCAAATCACTGTCCATTCTCACCAAGCAACCTCCCGAGACTGATTCATAGAGAGAGAAAGTGTGATGCCCAGACCAGCACAAGTGAGTCTCTGCTTTTCCTGGCAGCTATGTCCAATTTTTTAAGCGAAAATTAGGTTGTCTGGTTTCCTTTATCAGTCTCTGGGCCTTGTGTTGCATAGGTCACTGTTTCAGGGGCCAGGCAACTCTGCAGTAGTGATGAGACTGAGTATCTGAACTGCGAAGTTGAGGCCCAGACCTGACCATGTTGAATTCTTCCAATTTGAACTTGTAGCGATGTTCCTGGTAGGTTGGTCAGTTGGTCTTTTTGGGTGACACTCCTCAGTCCTTTTTCTATTGGAAACATCTGAACCTTGTGCTAACTCACTCTAATAAATTGCTTCTATTGTTTAAAAATATGTGATAGGAAAGCTGAAAAATCGGGAAGGATGAGACTTACCAAAGACTGAAACACCAACAGGCCGTATTTCTCTGTATTGTCATCCAAAATCACAAAGAGTGTATCTAAGATGTCCTGCAGGAACTGTAACAGCATAAAAACCAGAGGGCTCAGGTCTCAGGGCCTGCACACATGGACAAATTCCACACACCAAAGAATTCATCTCCCAAAACATAATGTCAAAGATCTAAAACCTCAAACCACCAAGTAACAATAGTCTAGTACCCACCTCCACCTAGCTAAGGGGTAAGTGGATGGACTTGGGGTGTGTGGTTACAGCCCAAAGGGCCACAGGGAGGCTCTTCCTGTTGGGTAAACTCCAAGGAAAGAGCAATTTCCTAAAAAACCTAGGCCATCCATAAAAGATAGCAATTTTGAAATCAAGACAATCTAAGTGATTCTGACACCAAATTCACTTTGAGAAAAAGAGCTCACTTTCATGGGACCCCAGAGTTTAGTAGTTCCTTGCTCTCTACTGTGGTCTAACTCTACAGAGGACATTTGAATGAGGATGTGGCAGGCTAGGCTTTACCTACAGTACTATTTTTTTAGTTTAGAAATTAGTGTCCCAAGAGAAGGGAGAAGTTCGTTTTTTAGAGCATGTGACTTTTTCTTTCTAAGATGCAAAAACCAAGGAAAAAAAAATAAATACTTATGGATGCTGGTAGTCTTTAAAAATCATATCTAACATTCTGTTGGTCAAAATGCAATTTAATGATACAATGTTTACAATTTAATTCAAAACAATATAAGGTGGGAGGCATGGATGGGATGTTGGTGGGTAGGATTGGCCATTGGTTGATGATTATTGGTGTTGGGTGATGGGTATACGTAGGATTCTTTATATTATTCTGTCTACTTTTGTGTATGTTTGAAATATTCCAATAAAATGTAAAAGTATATTTTAAAATGCTAGCATATTCTCTTCACATTCTTTTCTGGCTGGCTTGAGACAAATTATTGGTGCTAAAACCAGATCTACTGGTTTTAGAATGTTCTCTTGTGAGGAATACAATTCAGCCTTAAAAAGATCATAAGAATTTTTTAATGCCTTGTCTGTTTACTGGCAGGAACTTTTAATACGTTCAGGAGGAAAAAAATGCCGAGTATGAATTTATCTTGTTTCAAAAGCTATTATTATTAGCTTGTTTGTTAAGAGATATTTTTAAAATGTATGATATTCTGATCTAATTGATTTAAATCAAATTCCTAAAAATACCAGACTTCCTAAAAGTACGCAGAGGTACACAGACTTTAAAACTGCTCCTTATTTGGAGACTCCCATTGTGTGTTACTGAGTCAGTGGAGCTGTAAAAAGGAAGAATAGACAGTGCATCTGCTAATTGATTTGATACTTGCAAAGACAGAGCTCACTGATGGATGAGCAGCCTTCTTAAGATTTAGTCTCTCTCCCAGGAAAGGGACAGAGACCTAAAGGAATACAGGCAGCACAATGCACTGGGCTTGTTGCTAAGAGGATGCTGTACCACTACGTTTTGATTGTCATTTTGCTTTCTAGGAAGACAAACAAGTCAGAAAATAAGGTTTATATATAGTTTCTAAAAGGTAATAAACCTGATGTGGTAACTACTTTTACAAAAGAAGCTAACGGAAAAAAAAAAAAAAAAAGAAAACAGACTTTATTCCTGCTCATCTAATTATATATTTCGAGAAATGGTCTTCGAAGCTTACTAGCAGAAATCAAGGGGAAGTAAGTCCTTCTGGCTAGATTCTAGCTCAGGCATCATAAATGAACTGCGTGAAGCCATACCTTAACAATTTCCTCCCCGCTGACATGCCGCAGCCGCCCTAGGATGTCCATGATCCTGTCTGGAAAGGCCTTCCACTTCAGCAGAGCAAGGAGGTCCACTAGAAAGCAAGCCCAAAAGACAGTGAACCCTTTGCCTGTCCTTTAGAAATTTCCCAGCCATGGACAGGTGGGATCTAGAGAAACAAAAATAGCTATGAGCCTTACAACAGCCTCTTTAGTGCTGAGGTCAAGGCCAAAGACACATCTGTAAATTCAGGATGTGCACTCTGGAGCTGCTAAACCATGGGAAACCTCACAGGCTGCTATCGCCAAGTGATTCCTTCAACTTCGAATGAAAAGAATCCCCTCCCTGTGGCATGACAGTAATGTCTCCATTAACATACGTGTACATCGGCAACATGGAAGCAGCAGCTGAGGCCAGGGAGGGCACCAACCTACAGGCACCTACCGTTCTGGGTGAGTTTGGTGGAGGAGAGCTGTGTGGAGATGAAGAATGACTCTTTGGTGCTGCGCTGGAAGATGAGGCTGGAGGGGATGTTGGGGCAGCCATTGTAGTCCTCTTTGCAGCAGGGCAGGCCCAGGTACAGAGCGTGGTTGTTAAACGTGCTATTCTCATCGCACTGCAGGCAAAAGTACAGAACACAGATTGTTTCCTGAACTGTGCCATGTCTAAAAATCAGGTCCCTGGGCATTTCTACTTGATGTCTGTTCTCTGTCCAGAGATCCCCCAGAACAGCTGGCATGTCTTTTAAAGAAAATATGGCAGGGCATGGGGCCTGCACCTGGTGTGCAGGCAACCTTGGGTGGCAGCTATGGTGTGACAGCTTGACATAACCATGATCTCAAATAGCAGGTCTCCAAATATACCAGCCGAGGCCACACGGGCACCCAGGGTTAGTAATAGATTCCCATTCCTGGTGGAGCGGGAGTTGGGGAAACAAAAGGCCTGCTGGCATTATTCCCGGGAGGAAGCCGGCTGTATTTAGAAGACGAAGCCTACTGTCACCGCCAGCACACCGCTCTGGATCCTCTGGCCACCCAGGGCAAACCACCTAACTGGGAACCACAAGTAAGTGGCCTCTGGTGGTGAGGAAAGTGAGACACAGCCAGCCCCCATACCTTGTACACGTAGAGCTCGTGGATATCGTCTGACAGAGTGGTGCCATCGTCCCGCATCAGAGGTGAGAAGGCAAAGCCAAAGAGTTTCTTTTCTCCTTTGTCCTTTGCTGCAATGAGAGCCAAGTGTTAGTTGCTTTTGCCCCCCACTTTGCTTTTTAAATTTGGAAATTCCCTTTGTGCTTCTCACCTATGCTCTTTACTTCTTTGTCCCTTACTTTCATTAATTAGGTAGCAACCTGACTGCAGGAACGATGAGAAATGTATTGGACTGTTTCCACTTATGTTCCAAGGTACACAGGCTGCTTAGATCCAAACAGAAACTAAAGTGCTGGTCTTGCTAAGCCCGGGGCTCTCTAAGAAACAGTTTAACATGTATGAAGGAAACACCCAAACAGGAACAACAGTGGGAATTAGCCAGTGTCCAGGTCAGACACTAGGGAGAATCAATACCACGGTTTTAAATCACTGTCCAAAGAACAGCCTCTGGTGACAGCCCACCTCTGCGTAGCCATTTCTGTACAACTCATTTTCTTGCCCCAATAATAAGAAGCCTCTCAATCCTGTTCCAGAGAGGAAAGAGTTATATTCATATCCTCAAAGGAGTGTGGTGAGAAGTTTCACTCACTGGAACAATGTCTGAACTCGAAGCGCAGGTGGGAACCTCGGAACCGGTCAATGGGGATGGGCAGTTTGATAATCTCCCCCCAGCGAGGACTATTGCTGTGGTAGAGGACGAAGGAGTGGTAGGAACTCCTGTTTGGCTCTCCTGAGCCCAAGCTGATGCAATCCTGGGAGAGAAGAGAAAATGAAGTGTCATTTTCCTGGGAGGAGCCCTGGATTTCTCTGTCACTAGGACCCTTCCCTTTCTCCTTTGTGCAGCTCTCACTTTCCCACCGGGCCCAATCTATAAGATGAGAAAATTCATTTGGCTTAAATTCAATACTTTTGGAAAAAACAGTGGAGATGGTATAGGATAGGCAGTCAGGGTGCCCTTTGTTTTCTGTGGGGCAGAGGTAACCACACATGCTGCTCAGTAAACCGGAGGGCAGCTGAGTGGTGCATCTGACTCGCTACGGCATGCCCCTCCTCCTCACTCGGAAAGCAAACAGTGAACTGCACGGGAGAAGTCCGCTTGTACATGCACTGTCAGGTCAGAAAAACAATGGTAAGGTGGAGAGAGCTTGTCTGCTAATCTGCCTTAGCCCAGTGTTGCTCTGGCATTTTAGGTTGCCCTCAGCTGATTGTCCTTGGCTATAAACAAGGTAGACTGCATCTAATGTGACCACAGTTCCTAAATACTGGCAAGAAGATGCAGTGCCCGGGCCCCTTCCCTGGGGGACAGGAAGTTGCGGGCCATCCACTCAGGAGCGGCTCTGTCTGCACAGGCCTGGTGTGAACACCTGACGGCTCTGCTGACCTCGGCATGACTTCCATGCAAACAATGGCCATGTCCTTGAGGTGGGTTTTTACAACGAAAAATCACTGTTTCTACCACCATCAACATTCTCCTCTATTTCTCTCTGGCTTTAGGAGGTGATTTTGATTAATTTTACCTTTTTCTTCTGTAAAATGTGGATGCTCATTCCTGTTCTGCCTACCTCTTGAGGCTGTTGTCGACATACACAAGCGAGGTCTATAAAAGACTGATTGGCCTTCTACCAAATGCTATGCAAATGATGCGTTGTGATTTGCCAGGGACTTACCGTGACATGAGTGAGGGGAAACATGACATACTGACACCAGAAAAACAGCTCCAGGTCCTCACTTTCAATGAGGAGTAACAGAGGGTCCTTGTAGTACACTAGCTGGAAGGAATCTTTTAGGGTTGGGCCTGCTGTTGTTACATAACTTGGTACCTGAAAGTGAGTACCTAAGTCCCACTGTTGCCCAAAGAGCAAATATAACTTCCTGTATCAGCTCAAGGAATAAAAAGAGTGGGACCTAATACCAGTTACCAAAAGTAGGCAGCTCAGTGCGATGCAGAATGGCAGAACTAGAGGGAATAGGTCTAAATTGGAGCAGGAAGGACTCAGGTCAGACAGTAGGCAGAATTTCTAAAAAGGCTACGTGACACTGGAAGTCATTATCAAAGCATGCATAGGGTTTCCTCGCAGAAAGGAAAAGGCAGAGAAGAATGCATACTGGGTGATTTGAATTCAGTCCTGCCTGGGAGGGTGGCTCTCTGGACAAAGTCCACAGAAGTACTAGGATTGTTACAGGATTCGCTTCCATTCCAAAGTGACTGGCAAGCCTTACCTTCAGGATTTCTCCATCTGCATAAAGCACATACATGGTCACTTCAATATTCTTTTGTACACTCTTTCCCCCTCTCTCAAAATCCCCCTTCTCCAGGGTTAGGTACAGGTCATTGCGGATATCACCTGTGGGGAAAGAAATGCCATGTCTTCATGACCGCAGAAGTCATACTGTCCCATCTACATGGAGGACCAGGCTAGCAATTGGATCCTCCAGGGTTCAGGTAGGTGCTCAGGGCATTCCAAGCTTGGTTAATAACGATGGCTGTCCTACCAGTATCAGTGGAGTGGTACTCAGGTTGTTCAGTCATGTGCGTTTTAAGTCTGAGTTCTGAAGGTGTTTTACTATAGCTCATCCAGGATGGGACGAGGTGGTGCAGGGGAGCTTCTCTCAGATTGCAGGAGACTGCTCAGGCGAGTAGCTGCTAACTACGCTTCCCACAGAAGAAATATTTTGGAATCAAAAGGAGTAACACTTATGTTAATCAAGTGTCCGTCTTAACTATTAATCCCTTTTCCTTTCCCTCAAAAAAAAAAAAGTCGTTTCTCTTTTCTTTTATAGGTTTTCTTTTTGCAACCCTCAGCCCTTCCCAGTCTGACTAGAGGACACACTATTTCTTCCTTCCGGAGGCCCAGCTCCAAATCCCCTGCTGGAGCGCTAGGCAGAGGTCACTGAACTACCTGTCAGTTTTAATTCTCTTTGTTGCAAGCACTCTGGGAACAGGTGACTCTCCAGAAGCACAAGTGCTAACACACTGGGGTGACAAACTGCTGTGCTCTTGTTGTTTCCCAGTGCTCTGACTCCAGCCCACTTTGCCCGTATCCGCTGCTCGAGACAGGCTGGAGCAGCTCAGACTGCAAGTCTGAAATGACCCAAGTCATGTCTGCCGGGGGGATGGGATGGCCTGTTCGTGTATGAGCTTATTTAGTCTGCTCTAAGCATCTAAATCTGTAACTGATGAGTTTTATTCACACATTCTAAAATAGGGCTTTTGACTTTCAAAAAAAACCAAAAAACAACATAGTAAAGACTGTGGGGAAGAAATGTTCCAAGGGAGAAAATGGCAGAGGCAGAACAGGTAGGGCCGAAGGGAAGCTGTATTAGCGGCCTGGAGAAATCAACTGAGGGTTAGGGAAACAAGTAACTTGCAAAGTGAGCTGATTCAGCAGCCATTTCTGCTTCATTTCTTAGAAAACCTGGCACATCTAAATATACTCAGTACTTGTATTCACAATGACATGAACCGGTTTGGTTTCTGGTTAGCAAGGAAGCTTCTGGTTTGGTCAGAGATGTGATGACAGCCTCTTTTCTGCGCTGACTACCTAATTGTAGAAGTGTCTGAGGGTCTCTTACGCAGGACACAGCGATCGATAGGTCAAGATAGGCATGTATCTTGGGTGTTCGGTGTCTTCATGACCACACCTTCTATTCTTCAGGTTGTCTTCCTATCCCAGGAGTGCAATCATAGTTATCTGGTCACATAATAAAATTCTCAAAATATTTTGGCTCAAGTGGGGAAAAGCAACCTCTGAGAAGCAATTCTTTATTCTCTGACAGCTGGGAGAACACTCCCTAATGTGTGAAAACCATCTTGTTCCCCAAATAGTCCTGAGGCTACCATGAAGGGAGGAGGAAAATGTGTTCCGAAAATCACACAGACGCAGCTGAGGGTGTCCATTCTTGCAGCCACACATTTTCATCACAGACTTTCCTCTGGGGCTGAGCAGAACCTCTACTTTGAACTCTGAGGAGCCTGGAACTTTAATCTGCCTCTTTGGACATCCCGGCGTGGGCCCTCCTAGCATAGCATTAATAGCACTCAGGTGCACAGGTGGGGTGACGAAGGCAAGCAGAAGGAGAAAGGAAACTCAAATTCATCAGTTTGCTCCTGTCAGGACAGAAGCTGAATAAAATCAGTCCTAAAAGTAAAATTCAAAATTACCATGGGTTATTGCTATTAAAATGGGATAAATCAGAGTTGGTTACATCTTGAATTTTTAACAATTGGAACAGAAACGTCTTCTGATAAAAGCCTTTTAGTTATACATTAACTTTTCTATGGAATTTAAATAATTATTCAATTTCTAGGCTGATTTGGCATAAAGTGAATACTCTACAGAATTTTAATGTCTAATCTAAAGAATAGGTGCTTTGTTTAAAGATTACCTGGGTTTAAATCAGCACTTTCTGGACGTTATTCTCAAGGTAATCCACTTTTAAAAGCAGGTTTTGGCTATCAGCAATAGTATTCTAGCTTGTACATTTTTAATTTCTGTGGCTCTATACACAGGTTAACCATGTTACAATAAACATGTCCTTCAGATGAAACATTTCAAGCTTTTCTGAGAACTGAGTTAGATATTCCTATAGGTTTTTCTTTTAAAATTTCTATTTAAATAGAATGCCCTTGGTGATCATCCAGCTAAGAAAATTTATCAATACAAGTAGCTGTGCCTCTGAGTTACAGGCTGAAGCAGCCTGATTTCAGATCTTTGGTTGCTCTTTATTTGGAGAACACACCTGCCTAGACCAGGAATGTTCTCAGTCAGAATAGGTATTAGGCTGCATTATGGGTTACAATTTTGCAAATTACGGTCTCAATTTCGAGAACGGCACTTTGTGATGGTTAATGTTGCTGGGGCCTTTTTGTCAAAAGAAGGGGGCTCATTCAAATTAAGCTCTCCACTAATTCTCCTGGCACTAGGAGGAAACCTAAGCAGCAGCAAATGTGAAAAGCTCCAGGGATCTGATGAGCCAGGGCTGCCTTACAGGTAGCCTCCCAGGCTTCCCCGCTCTTCAGCGGTCCCTCGTGCATGTTCCATGTTCACAAAGCCCCAGTGGACTCATGCCTTTGGGTTAAGGCACTGTCTCCAGGAATCTCCTGTAAACTTCAGCACCAATTGCTGGGAGATATTTCCCGGAGAGGGATGGGGACAGGCACATTACAATGATGGGAAAGGAGAAGGCCTGAGCAGTGGTTTTGAGGCTAGTTTGCAGCCCACTGCCTGGGTGGCTGTGTTCGCATCACCTAAGGAGCTTCCACCCCGTGAGATTCCAGTGGAACTTGGGTAAATAGGTGTAAAAAACCACCAGGTGATTAACCCTCTCTTGGGTTTAACACTAGGGGACCAGAACATGGGGGTCTGCTGGGAAGATGCTGATGAAATTTGGCTGGGGGTGGGGGGCTGGGCAGCATGGAGGCACACGGGGAGGGGTAAGGGAGTGAAGCAATTCTGTGGAGAGTGGGAATAGGCATTGTTGAGGGCAGTCCTGCCTCCCTTGTTAGGTGTCTTCTGCTGCCTACGGTTGGCGGAACGTCTACCAACATCAGCAATGCCTTACATTTCTGAGTGCTTAGTGCTCAGATGACATGGAACAGAGTTTCTTGAATGGAAAGATGAATGAATGAGGTTGTTCTTATAAGAGGGCCTCAGAATAAACAGTCTTTGTCCCTTTCACAGTTTCATACAGTAGCCAATGCCAGCTGTTGGTATATATAGCTGCATGTCAGGGAACTAGAGACTTAAGAGTAGGCAGAGGTTGGCACATTTTTTCTGTAAGGGACCAGATAGTAAATATTTTAGGCTTTGTGGGTCCCACAGGTCTCTGTCACATACATGTTCTTTGTTTCCAAAACCTTTAAAGAAAAAAAAAATATATATATAAACATTCTTAGCTGGTAGGTAGTACAAAAACAGGCTGTGGCCCGTGGGCTATATAGTGTGATATCTGGCTTGGAGTGTTCATGTGTCAAAAACAGCTTCACTACACCACAACCACACAATTAAAAAACAAAACAAAACAAAAAACTCCAGCATCTATACAAAAACTCTAAGTCTACACAAACAGCTGCTGGGAAGAGGCAAGATAATGAACTGAAGGCCAACTTATCATACCAGGGATTGGCCTGAAACATGCTGGGTCCTCATGGAGTGAGAGGTCTTATAAGCAAACAGTGCTTTTCAGCTCCTAGAAATCTTGGGGGGCTGAGGAACACTTTGACGGAGCTGCTTCTGACAGTGACAGAGGACTGATGCCTCAGCAGCCAGGCCTGAGCCTCTGAAGCCCTCCAGCCTAGTAAGGCTGTGGAGAAACAGCTCACACACACCTGTAGCCTCTCTGAGAACAGTCTCTGCAGGGGATGCAGAACTTCTGAGGTGCAGCTCAGGCACCAGAGCATCTGTTGGTAACACTCTCTTGCCAGACACCCCAGCCTTACTTGGAGATTTGGAGCCACATGGCCCCAGCCTACGCAGAATTCCATTCCAGGGGAAATGGCCCAGGACAGCACACAGGTGTGGCCACTCAGTCGTGTCTGGATTCTTTATTATATTCACATTCCTTCTGTGTCAATTACTCACACCACAGAGTAGGAGGCTTTGGGTTCAAGGTTAACCGTATTTAACGCTATATTACTTACACCTTGTCTACTTCTGGATGGGATTAGGAGGGGCTTCTGTGAATAGTATTTCTTTCCCTTAAGACCATGTAAAACCAGGACTTTCTCCCAGTAGACACAGCAGCCTGCTGGGGATGGCACCAATTCTTTCTCTCAGCAGAAAAGGATGAAGTCTCCTGACAGCATTCATGAAGATGGAGAAATGTTAACCGTTTAACTAGGACAGCTTCAGGTATATAACCAATACTTTATTTTGTAGTTCTGATTTTGAGGACAAGACAAAAAATTTAAAAGCACGATGACTCTTGGGAGGACTTCTCTAGAATATCCAGGAAAGATGGCTTCTTTACTTTTCTAACCATGTCTTCAGTGTCACAGGTCTACTGGTTTCTATCATTGCAAAGTCAGTGATGTTCTCTAACAGGATGATAGGAAGGGGCACAGTCACCTCACATATGGTTATTCTTTTCCTGGGCCAAGGATGTGATCTTTCAACATGTTGTGGGACCAGATGTGATCACTCCAAAAGCATCCCTGAGAGATGCTGCCAGAGCCTTATTGGAACTCAGACTGACCACAGTCCTATGAATGTACTTGTGGTAAATACTTGCATCACTCCCCCAGAGGAGAGCTTTCTTTCAAAAGTCATGTCTCTGTGTGTTTGCCCTTTGTATCAGATGTGTCCAGCCAAGCTGAAAAGAGAAGTTCTCTGCCTTTCTGATCCTTTGTAGCTTGGGCTAAGCCTACTCATTTTCTTTTCAATGACAGTAACTGATCTGTCTCATAAAAATCTCTTGTTGTAGCTATACACCTAGGGCTTGTTAAGGTATTTAAAACACTTCAACATGTCCTTAGCCTCCTCAGATCTTAATGAACAGCCAAAGTCTTCTAGGCTGAGACGGTAGCTTCTCTTATGTCTTGTCAGTCACCCCAAAAGGTGAAGCTGATGAAGGATTAATAATGTACATGACATCCCACCCCAGTATTGCAACATTCCATGAAACAAATGAAGATGGAAACAAAGCAGGCAAAAAGCAGACGGGGCACACAAAAGCAGGAACTTACACCCAAATATCTTCATCTCTGCACCAGAAAGAAAGGGGCGAGAATGAGGGCACAGCACAGAGAGAAACAAGAACAATTAAGACAAACAGGAAAAGAGAGTAAAACATCACTTGCAGGTTGGTGATGAAGCATGCACTTCTTACCAGGTGTCAAAGCAAAGGACAAAGTGTATTTCTGAGCACAAGGGCAAGAATGGGAGGGTCCCCTAGAGGGATACCATGCCTGCATCGCTGCTTTCTAATGGGCAAGTTCAGGGCAACCCAGAGAGGAGCAGTATTTGTGCCAGGTCTGACTCAGGGAGGGCAAAGCATCCCTGAAGCAGAGTACCCTCTAGGACAGCAGTTCTCAACCTGTGGGTCGCGACCCCTTTGGGGGTTGAATGACCCTTTCACAGGGGTCGCCTAAGATAATCGGAAAACAAAAAGATATTTACATTACGATTCATAACAATAGCAAAATTACAGTTATAGAGTAGCAACGAAAATAATTTTATGGTTGGGGGTCACCACAACATGAGGAACTGTATTAAGGGGTCGCGGCATTAGGAAGGCTGCTCTAGGACATGGTTCTCAAAGGGAGTCTGAAACCAGCAACATCACCATCACTGGAGAGCTCGTGAGAAATGCAAATTGCTGTGTCCCACCCCAATCCTACTGTATCAGAAACTCTTGGGTGGGCCCAGCAGCCTGTTTTCCCAGGCCTTGTAGGTGATTTTGATATGCACTAAAGTTAGAGAACCATGCTTTAGGAAAAACTTAGTCATCAGCTATAACATACTACATCAAAGGACAGATTTCTTCTGGTAAGACTGAAAACCACTTAACTAATATGAAACTTGGCTCATATCACCCACAGCAAATGATAACCTTAAAAATTCAAGGCTGAGAAAGTAAGTTAAAATGTAATTCCCACCGAGCCATGACAGAGCTGTATTGCTCCTGACTCTAAGGGAATAGACTTTCCAGGAAAGCTAAGAATGAGACAGAGCTGTGGCAGGTGGCGACACATCCCTACTCAGACATGGTCTGGAGAAGGCAGAGCCTTTTCTTGAGCAAAAGGGCTTAAATCGTCCCTTTTGGCTTACTGTTTTTGGGCTGACCTTTTTGGGCTAAAACCTTTCTTTAAGGTTTTAATTTGGACTAATTCTGATAAGCGAGTCACTGGGAACAAAGTTAGCTTCAGCTTGTTCACCTGGAACACCAGGCCTGCTCCTGTCTTTCCTGCCTATCTTCTAGAAAAAAACCTAGGAAAGGAGTAAACATTTGCGACAGCTATTAGCTTTGGTACTAAACTAAAATGAGTTTGGAAGGAAGAAGTACCCACAGAAATGTGACAAACAACAAAAGGCTATAAGTGCCCAGTTTCAAAATTAGGCTTAAGTTCCCATATCTATTTATTCTAGAATCTAGTAGTCAGGGCCTCAGCTATGGCACAGAGTAGGATATCTCCTGCTTACAGCAGTCACGTGGTGTGTATGTACATACCCGTGGGAAGCAACAGGAAACCATCGGAAAGAGCTTTTTCAAAATGGTATGTTGGCTACTGGTGTGACGGGAGCCTGTCTGAACTCTGTAACTGCAGTTACAGTCAGAGCTGTAAGTTCTGTCGATACCCAAGGACCTACCTGGGCCATCCTGACAAAAAAGACCCTCCCAGTGAGTGTCTGGTACCTTCTGCCAAATGCTGGGTAGTTTTAAAATGAGGATCACAGTTTATGACTAATTCTAATTTTTACATTTACTCCAATTTCTCAGACTTAAGTGTTGCAATGCTCACAGTTATTGACGTAATTTATTTCCTCATTCATTTCCCATATGTCCATGGGTCAATAAGAAGCTGCAACTTGTAACTTGGTCACGCCAACACTGGGAGGGTTGAGGGGCTACTGCAGCCCATGGATAATATTCCCACAGGTGAAAAGTAGACCCGCTGCAGATGGCCAGGTGGCCAGGGCTTGGAAGTCTCACCAAAAGACTTCTTGCCACAGTCATGGTTTCTCAAGACAGGCTGACTGCAGTGTAAAACACTCCTGCACACTTTTCCTGCTGCCCCAGGAGACCTGCAGGCTAGCTGTCTCCCCTTGCCCAAGGATGGCAAACCCACTCTGATGATATCTCTGGATGCATAAAAGGGGCTGTCAGTTGTTAGTTCACAACTCTGGGAGTGGCCATCTGTGCAAACAGTTCTTTCCTCGGAAAAGGAAGGGTAGAAGAGGAGACAGATTATGCACAGAGGACTGCTTCCTGCCTGTGAACCAATCCCCACTTGCAGCTTCAGCACCTGGTACTCAAAGGCACACAACTCCTAAAGCAGCATCCTCACCGCCACAGCCTGGACCTCACAGGATGGCCAGTGTCTTGGCCCGTGGGGCAAATAATCTGATAATCCCTTAGCTGCCCAGGGGAGGGTAAGTCCCCTTAGCCTCAGTGTGTCTCACCAATGCCTGACACAGTTGGTTTCCATGGTGATGTCTAGCATACCCAGAAGTCCTTTATAAATGTGTGTGCCAATGATAGAGAGATGCAGAGTGCTCCACAAAAAGATCTCTTTCCACAGAAGAGGATGGGACAGTAACTCCTGAAATCAAAGTCTGCTTAAAAACATTTTTGACTGAAGCTTGTTCCTTTCTAGTCTTGCTCACTTGGTTTTAATTCTATGACTGTGTGAAGGCTAATAGGAAGGAAATGTCCAAATCTTAAAACAAACAAGTTCTTAAAAGAAAGGAAGGACTCTAAATACATCTCTTAGAATATATTGACTCCATCTCGTGAGCCTGGATATCTAATTTAAAAAGATCACCAGATAAATTTGTGTAGCTACCTACTTTTTCTTACATGACACATTATCAAGAAACCACGGACTATGCCTGGGCTCTTCTTTTCCTGATAACTAAGGCCATAGCGGGCTGAGGAATGGTGTCAGGACATTATGGGAGAAATGTCCTGTGGAGGACATCACATTTACAGCAGCCAGGCGGGGGCCTTTCATAAGCAAGAAGTCTCCTTAGCATTCAAAGATAAACATGAAATTGACTGAGTAGCCTGGGTTTCCTACACGAGACCTCCAGTGCGCATGAGCAGGAGGTGAAGGCCATTCACAGCAGCTGGCTCTGCATCACAGTGTCTAAGGGCAGGTACCGAAGGCAACAGAAACAATTCTGGGCGCAGTGTGTGAAGCTGGAGGCAACTGGAGACCGTCACACGGCCTCCTCTATGCTCAGGCCACCCTCCCCTTTTGGTATGTGCTGGCAAATATTTCCAACAAGGGGACTTAGAGCACCACGAAGAACTCCAAATAGGTGCTAGTTAGTCCACCTGGCCTGGCCCTTCTAAACAAAAAGTGATTTTAGCAGATCACTAAGACTCAATGGAAAGCATGGGTTCACTCCTGTCGTCCATCCAGATAACCAGCTTTGTCTGTTCTGATTTCCCTCTCCTTGTTCACATCTTCTCTGGTTATCAGACCACCTGCCATCGATCTGAGCCAGCCCTCTACCCTTCCCTCGCTCCCTAAAGCCCCCTCGGCTCTGATGGCCTGTTTGGACCTGCTTCTCCAGCTTTGCCTGCCATCTGCCTGACTAGGAAACATGAACCTGGGATTGACGTGCTGGAACCACACACTGGAGAATCAGTGCCCTCCCACTTTCTGCCCTGGCCCTCCATCAGGCATTAGCCGAGGGGAATGAAACAATCCCTGAGAAACTGGCCAGGCCATACTCCACAGTGCCCAATTTATACCATTTTCCTGATCCATTTTTCTAATATACTAAAATGTATCTGCCATTCCGAATGAATTGGGATCCATCAATACTACAGGCACATTTTTGGTATATTCTTCCCCTTAGGAAGTTCTGTGAGCCAATTCTCTTCTAAGGAATGTAACGGAAGACAAAAGTATAAAAAGGCATGAAGTTCCACGCTGGTGGCTACCATCCACAGAGACAATAACGCCTGGATTGTCATGCTGCATGGGTGAATGGAATGTGGGAGCTTCCGGCAAGGAACAAACACCACCAAGAGCCAAAGGAGCTGCTGGGTGCAAACTGCAGCCTGCAACCTGAGCTGAGCTGCAGAGGCTTTTAATGGCCGCAGGGCTCCTCCACTGCGTAGTTTTACCAGCTGCTCCTGAGATGAGCTCAGAACTCCATCCTTCGAACCCTTCTCCCAGCCCCAAGAAGTTCTGCTTACCTGGCATGATGACATCAGGAAATCCCAATTTTCTTGTAATCGCCAATCCCCTATTAAATATCATAGGGTTTTCTCTCCTAATCTGTTCCATGTCTCCACGAAGAAGCTGCAGAGAAATGATAAGACCTGCAAAAACAAAAAAGCATTTTCTTCCTCAGAACCACACCCCGCGCTGTACTATACAACTAAAAAAGACAGAGTCACACTGTTTCAGAGGAAAATGTGCAAAGCTCAGCATTTTTGAGAAAAACATTAGTGCAGAAAACATATGTTATTCTGAAGAAACATTTTAGAAAGCTAAAGGAATTTAAGTCAAGATGACCTCAATAGCCCAGAGAGCTCGTCTATCAGACACAGGCTGTGGTCTGGGAAACGGAGCCCCCCAGCATCCAGCCCAGGGCCTGGCTGGGCTCTAGTGAATAGTGAAGGGGAGGATTCCTAAACTGTACATTCAGGGACTCAGAGAAGTCTACCGACACAACAGCAGAGTAGAAACAAGTGTGTCCAAAGACCTTGTGTCAGGGTGTCCCGCCATCTGGAAACGAATGAGCTAAGAGGTGCTGTGTTTTATGCTAGAGTATATACCATAATGTGGAAGCAGTGTGCTGGTTCAACCTGGCAATGGCTTGTAAAGAGAGCAGCAGAGTAGATATCATGTTCTTCCTGCACTGAACCACTGCACTGTAAGGACAAGAAGGAGTGCTTTGTGGGGCTGACTGAGCCTTGTCTCAGACTCTGAATTTCAGACCCTCCAGATGATCCCAGGGGCTTTGTTCAGAACTTGGAAGAATCTGTAATGTCCCCTCAGGTGATCTGGCTTCTGACTCATTACTTGTACCCTAGGAGCTTCACACAAAGTAAGGATCTCCTGGAAACCACCCCCTTTCCTGACCCCAAGGGTCCCTACTGTAGTCAGTGGCTGACTGTGAGGTCAAGCCTAGGAAGTACCTCAAAGACCCTGTGAATGAGATTAGCTGTTAACAGGATGATGAATCCAGGTGCTGATCTATGGGTCAGCAGGGAGCAACCTCAGGGATCTAGAAACTTGTGAGTTGAGCAGAAAATGAACATCCGGCATTTAGGGGAGATGTTGCTAATTAGGACAACCAGAAGAGTAATGGCTAGAAGGAGACAGTAACAAGCAGAGCTGTAGAATAAGAATGCGGAGAGGGGAGGGGGTGGAAAAGTGGAGAAGGAGAGAAGGCGGATAGAAAGGTCACAGACACTAGGAATATGTACTATCACAGCTGGGTCGGGAGAAAATACGGTTCTACTGTAGCCCAGATAGAACCTCAAGATGATATTGCTTCAGCCAAGCTCATGCTTCCCAAGAAACCCTGGAACTACATATATGATGTCCCAGTGTCAGTAATACCAGGATCACTGTGCCCTGAAAAGCAGACATGGTGTTCCAGTTGGCATCCGGTTAGATAATCAGTATTTGAGACTGTGAGCACCCTAAAGTATTTTTACAGCCTAATCACCTGGTGGACTCACCTACACTACAATTAGTTAATGAACCTGAAAGGCTGGGGGCCAGAACCCAGACCACGATGACCTTGATAGAGAGTGGCCTGGAAAGTACTCGACCCTCCCTCACAACCCCAGCTTGTTTATGGGTGGTATCTTTACACAGCTGCCAAATCTGATTGTCTGGGTGAACAGGGAGGCACAGACTTAGAGACAGCCTTGCTTGAGCAGAGAGCTGAGGATGGGACAGTTTCCAGAACTTGAGATGGTAGTGGGAGGGCAAAGGAAAAAGAGTCAGTGGGTACACTCTTACCATTCTGCATTGGCAAGGATTTATTCAAGTACTCACTGACTTCCTTTCATCTCCTCATTTTCTGAGCAATCAAATTGGCCTAGAGATGCAAAGTGCAACTTGTGAGGTGCTGAGAGAGTCACATCTAGCTTTAGAGCTACCCAATCGGGTCCTGAACAGCTGTTCTCTACCTCTAAACATGACAAATAAGAGGAAGAGGACTTCAGTTTCTGCAAGAGAACAAGTGAAAAGCACACAAAGGATGAAAGAAGCCACCAGTGGAAGCTATAAAAACTCCACCCCCTCTTGGAGGGGGTTGGGATCCAGGAACTTCTGGATCTCCTTTCTGGTTTTGAAACCCTGGGTGATTGAGGCACATGCCAAATAATGCTAAGGCCTGGTCTTCAGGATGAAAGCGCCTCTGTGAATCACTCGCCTATCCGGTATACAGCCAGTCCCCGGGCAACACTTGGCGTTCTACCTTCCAACCATCCAGCTCTCAAGCCAAAGGACTTGAAAGGAACTAAGTCTATACAATGTCTCTGTTAATGTGATCTCTGACACAAGAAAAACGGTTTTCTTACTGAATTTCATCTCAAGTTAAAGACTGCCCCATAAAAATGTAACTGGACAAACTGACACCTGTGTGGAATACTGGAGAGTCAGCAACCCGGTGCTGTTCCTCCCCACCCCCATCCCTCATGGAAGATCTAGGTAGGGATTAGTCTTAGCCCAAGATATGTACATAAGGCTATAGTTAGTTGCCATTTAAAAGTACAAAGAAAAACAATGTGTCAACTGCTTTATTTGTCTTCATTTGTTCTTAATGACCTTGGTGCTATTGGAATTGTTAAAAGTTAAGTCTGTGGCTACATATCTAAGAGGCCAACAATGAAACTATGGAAATAAGGAGCTACAAATATTAAGAGCCGCACCTTAAGGGAGTTACTGCTGAATAATACGCTCACTCTTGGCACTCAAACCAAAGCAGCAATTCCTCCTGCATATTTTATATGATTTGACTTGAAGGGAAAGCACTAATGACCTCTGACACAGAATTGCCAAGACAATGAACTGTCCAGGATGTCTAACAAAGATGGGAGACAGTTTATAGCAAAGTAAATTAATTTTTTATAAAGATGTACCCGTGCTCAGAAGCTTGGTAAGAGTGGAAAGGCCAGAGGCCTGGAGTCTGGAAATCTGGGCTCCCTGGTTCAGCCACTAAGTAATTTCACTGAGCATTGGTTTTCTCATTAATTTCATGAGAGAGTGGAAACAGGTAACTTCCAAGATCTCAACTAGCTTCCAAGTCAAGCCTTGCCAAGAAGCAGTCCCACACTTCAAAAGGCAGCAGCTTACTTTTCCTTCTGGCTTTTCCACAGGTGCACAGAGGCCTCCTCCCACAAAGGCCCTCCTAACCGAGGCACCCTGAAGCCTGGGATGCCCCAGCACAGAGGTACGGGCGCTTTTCTAACACTATTTAAATGGCCAGTGTCTGTGAGTTCTGGACAAAAACCATAGACACTAAAGATGGAGGGCATGGTCCTTGCTCACTGTGGGAAGTAAGACAAAATTCAACATCTTAACCTGGTGAGGTGATGGTAGAAACCGCTTTTCAGTTGCTTCTTTTAATGTATTATCATCGTCTCACTTTTAAACTCTTCTCCATGTTTTAATCATATCATGTCCCAAGACTGTAGCGAAGGGCATCTCTTTATAAATCAAATCAGTAAATAAAGCAAAGAACACTATACATATTGATGTGAACGGCAGTTTTCCAAATTGTTAGTAACTTTTCTATACTTTAAAAACAAGATTTTATTTGCCTCTTGCTTTAGCCTAGTTTTAGGTGAGGAATATGGACTCTCCTCCCCCTTTAAGCACACTGCATGGAGTTTCCTGGTACCCAGGCACACCCATATGGGAAAGTCACTTAAAAATAGAGAGGCCCTGAGGCCCCCATGCTACAGGGCTTTAGAGGGTCAAGTACTCCCAGCTGAGGGTCTCACACTTTGCAGCCTCTGGTGTGCAACTGCTCTGAGGATCCTCCTAGTTGAATATCTGCTAGATAGAGAAAAAACTGTTTTTAACAACTTGGGAAATTGCCATGCCTTGCAGTGGCTTTCCACTGTCATTTAAGGTCAAATTTTTTATTTACAAGTCTATGAAAGTTAAAACAAAGAAGGTTATGTAAAAGAGATTATGAAATGATTTAGAGGTAAAAACTGTCAGGAGAAACATGGTTCTATGTAAATCTGAGAGCTACCTTCAAGGGTATATTAAAGTTCAGAGGCTTTTAAATAGTGTTTCCAATTTAATCAAGCAATTAATGATCAATTTAAAAAACATAAGTCTTTCTAATGTGTAGAACTGAACCAAGATTCATACAGAAATTATTTAAACAGCTTTAAAAGGAGGAAACAGAAAAAGTTGAGCTAAGATGAAAGCTACTTTGAAATAAAGATTTCCCATTCTAGATCCAGAATGACTGGTATTGGCAGACTAATCGTTGATTCTCATTAGTGTCAGGCTTTCTTGGTGATGCTAACATGAAACAGGAATAGAAAAAGTGTTATATTTGTCTCTTTGGTGGGGGCTGGGTGTGTAATCTTTGTTCAGGAAAACACAGACTTCATAACATGTCAGACCTTGTAACACTTCTGTTCACTCTGGATTTAAATTGGAACTCAAGTTACCTATCAAAGCACATGGAATCCATCATAGAAAGAACAGAAAATGTATTCTGGTTGGAAGTAATTAGGGAAGGTCTCAAATTATCACAAAAAGAAATAGTAGAGAGTGCCTGGCAGAAGAAATCTCTGCAGGGGTTTGAACTTTACACGTGGCAACTGATCAGCACAAATCGAATGAGGTGTGTGATCAGCAACTGCAAATGCAACAAAGTCACATAGCCAGAGAAGTACGTCACCATGGCTGGCGCTGGGGGCAGAGTACTTGGCGCTGGACTTGCGGATGATGTTCTCATGGATCTGGGACCACTCACTCTCGTTGTTGCACCTGCAACAGAAAGACAGGCGTTACAACTCTTGAAGGTCTGAAGCATCTGGTCTGACATTCCAACGGGAAACATGAAGTTTGAAGGGGAACTTCTGACTTTCCAGAAGAAATGAATGTATGTTCTACTAAATTAGAGAAGGCTTGTTTTCTGTTAAGGCACACAGAAGATTCACACTTTGGAAAGAACAGAAACTCTAAAATGAATCTCTAAAAATACTTTTTAAGAGGCAAAATATCCTCTTCCCTGAGGTAGCACTCTCTGGCCTGACAAGTTTTTTCTTCTCTAGTTCACACACACACACACACACACACACACACACACAGCAGCAGCAGCAGCAACAACAAATCAAACTAGGCTACAGAGGAAAGTTCCTGATAAACAGTTCCTCTCAAGCACTACTGTTTAGAAGCTGCCATGCCTTGCACTGGCTTTACCCTGTCATTTAGCTGACATCACATTGGCCACAAAGGAAAACCCTGCTAAGCTCAGGGCAATGTGGATATTTGCTTGTGGGTGTATTTCAGCCAGACCAAAATAAGAAGTGTAGGAGAGTAGTGGGTTTGGTTCACTGTGAAATTCTATGTAGTCAAGGGAAGGAGGGCTTAGCAGAGAAGGCTGGATGCCTAAATAGCTAAGTCAAGTTCTTTCCTGAGGACTCTTGAGATTGGGACAAAAGGGAGAATGAAGGAACAACACTGCACTTCTGTTCATTTATGACACTTTATAGAGTCTTCCCCTTGGAAGGGCAATTCCAAGGCCTCTGCCACACAACCACTTGGTGCAGCTTAGGAACAGACTAAGAATTCCTCACCCTAATGGAGACACTTCAATGAAACAACTGGAATGAGACTGGGGTCATGTCTTGAAAATCCCATGGGACACAGGCAGTCCCCATAGCCTGGCACCGTCCTTCCCCTGTTGGACAGGGAGGTATGGACCCATGCTCCAAGGAGATCCCACAGGATCTTCCCATGGTTACTCAGAAGTGTGCAGTCCAGTAAAACCACTTCCAAGAGGAAACCTCACTAAGAGTTCCATCATGTGCCACCTAACAGTGTGAAGGACAACAGGCTTCTAAGTAAAAGGTTTGTTCAGAGGCCATTCAGAGATCAAGGATGTTGGCCACTCGCTTATTTTTGTAACTCAGTGGCTCTTCAGACTCCTCGGTCAGTATAAATGAGCCTCGCTTACTCAGAGATGTAAAGAACTGTCAAATATGAGGTCCTCACAGTCCAGAGCTGTGTGGATAACCTTCCGCTTGCAGAATTCCTTCCAAACAAAGGAAGGGGGACAGTGTTCTTCCAAATGATCACTTGTGATTTAGCAACTCAGTTGGAAATGAAAAGTGAGAGGAGCTGGCAGCAGTATTCCAGCCTTTCCAGTCTGACATGCACTGTCTCATCTCTTCAGTACATTAGAGAAGTACCCAGCTGGTGAGGATGCAAAGACTTGTCTTTCTGTCAGCTTTTTGTCACTTTCTAGGTTTACAAGTCAGTAGTTACTTTCTTTAACAGAATTCTGCCTACACTTTGTCATGAATAACATACTCCCCCCTCTCGTTTCAAAAGAAGTCTTGAAAATTAACACCCTCCCTCCAAAAGATGGTGTTAATTTTAGTATTTCTCCCAAAACAAAACAACCAACCTCTCCCTGGCTCCCTGGCGGTGTAGGAGAGCTGGTGCTTTGCTGACCACACCAATAGTAACAATGTGTATTATTTCACGCACATGTAACCTTCCACCCAACACACACAATTCAGATGCCACACAACAGATGGCTTGTCACTGCCACTGCTCTCCCTTTGCACACCTCTTAACTATTACTGGTGGCCTTTACAGCTCTGCCTTCAGCCCATTTCTTTCTTATCCTACAAGCTTTCCTGGGCAATCCCACCTACTCCCATAGTTTCAACCACTGCCAGAAGCTGCCAAGCTGCAAAGCAATGTCTCCAGCCCAATCTCATCCCTAAGCTGCTGACCTACATGGCTACACGAGAGCTTTTATCATGTCTCCCCGACCTGTCTGCTCCGAAAGACTCCCACTCAGAATGGAACCCACTAGTTCACTAAACCAGAACCCTTCCAGCTGTCACCATCACTATGTCCTGTAGATATAGCTATCTTAAAATCTGGCCCACCTGGCCTCTCCTCTTCATGGCCTTGGGTAAGCCATTATCATCTCCCTTTCAGACCAGTGTAATCGCCTCCTAACTGGCCATTCAAACATCTTCCTTTCCAGAATGCCAAGAGGAGCTACTCAAATCATCTGAAACTAAGTGGATGTGGTATCATCAGCATATTTTAACCAATCACTAAGGTATTTTATAAGGAAAAATTATAAATCTAAGCATTTATTAAATAGTCAAATGAGTGGTGATTATAATGAGGCATGCTTTTTATGTCCTATCCAATCAAATTAATACTTAGAGCTTAATTACCAATGTCAACAGTTTATCCTCAGTCATAAGACCCATCAGGGACTATGATCTAAAAAACTCTGTGTGCCTCTGTGGCAGCCCACCTGCCCCACAGACGAGAGATAATAACACAGGCAATGGGGCAACACTCCAGCACTGCAGGTCCAGGGATTTTACTCCAGGAATAGAACAGAGGGTGAGAGGGTTTGCATTTCCTACATGTGCTCTCCAAGCAGCCGGAAGCACCAGAGCAGGTGTGCAGGTTCTGCTCACCTGAGACAGTCCCCAACACTCTCCTAGTTGATTCAGGTACTGGAGCACACTTTACCACGTATGCTCTTCCCTACTATCTCCTTTTCTTCTTCTTTTATTTTTATTTTTTAAAATTGTTTTTTGTTTTTCAATTACAGTTGACATTCAATATTATTACATATTAGTTTCAGGTGTATAGCATAGTGGTTAGACATTTATATAAATTTTGAAGTGAACCCCCCAATAAGTCTGGTACCCACCTGACACCATACATAGTTATTACACATCATTGACTATCTTTCCTAAGCTTTACTTTACATCCTCGTGACTATTTTGTAACTGCCAATTTGTACTTCTTAATCCCTCATCATCTTCTTGATTTCTGTATTTCTGATAGGTATTCACCCACTTTCTTCTCATCTTTACCCAAGGCAGTCAATCCTAAAAAAGTATTCAAGAAATTTTAAAGGGTTAATTGTAACATTTATGTTTGCATTTTTAGAAGGGTGGTAGGTAATGATTGGGGTATTTTCCGACATTTTATTTCACTTAATTCTCATACTTCTATAAGATAGGTATTATCATGTTCATTTTACAGATCAGGAGAGTGAGGTGGAAGTGGAGACTGAACATAGGTCTGCCCGGTCCCAATAACAGGGAGGGGGAGAAGAGTGGGAGAGGCTGCAGAGTCCAACAACCCTAAAAATCTTGCTCCTGCAACCAGGCTTCAGGGTGCCCATCTCCCTGACATTAATTAACATGCTAATTTTGTCTACCTTCACCTAACTGCAATTGTTTAGTCTTGACTACGGTTTAAAAATTAATTTAGTGTAAATACACCATATTAAAATTCTTTCTGTTTGGGTTTGACCTGCTTTATTTTGGCTTTTATTTGGTTGAAAGTTCTAATAAGCTAGAAAATAAGCAACAACCTACAAATTTAGGAACATAACTGATGCTGACCACTGGTTTATGCAGTCCTTACTTGTAGCACAAAAGCAGAGAGAAGTACCAAGAAGCATGATGAAAAACAGCACACATTTCTATAAAAATGGCCCAACAGAACAGTCTTTAAGGCCAAGCTACACAAATCATCAATCTCATTCATTTTGATGCGCTCTCATGGGCCATGAGAAAACGTCTTTTATTTATGAAAAAATGAAACCATGACTCATATGTTTAATACAAATTAAAAAGAAAGACAAATTATCTGTATCTATATAAATAAAACAGTGCTTTAGCAGGAATACTTATTTTTACTCCTTCTCTTTCCAGGTGGCAAAAGGGTTTCTGTGTGTAACACTTGTGCCCCTTCCATCACTTTCCTGGGGGAAGGAGTAACTCCTCTGGCCAGTGCATCTAGAAGGACCCGGGCAGAAACACCTCAAGTCTTGCATCATCCCTCCTATGGGACCAACCTGTTTGCAGAGAGCACACAATCTCTGAAACACCAAGCCCCACATTGATGGTGACTTTAAAAAATTTTTTCTAATTTGGGGTTCATGTTAATCAGTTATAGTGGGTTGAATGGTGACCCCTAAGAAGATATATCCATATCCTAATCCCTGGAACCTGTGAATGCTACCTTATTTGGAAAAATGGCCTTTGTTAAGTGTAATTAAGTTAACAATCTTGAGATGAAGAGACCACCCTGGATTATTTGGGTGAGCCCAAGTTCAATGATGAATGTCCTTAGAGAAAGGAAAAGGGAGATTTAAGACAGACAGAAGAAGATACAGACAAAAGAAAGAAAGCAATGTGGCCAGAAGAGGGTGGAGTGATGACACCCCAGCCAAGGCAAACTAAGGACCACCAGAAGCTAGGATGCAGAGGATATATTTTACTCTAGGGCTTCCAGAAAAAGTGCTGTCCTGCTGGCGTCTTGACTTCAGACTTCTGGCTTCCAGATTGTGAGAATAAATTTCTGTTGTTTTAAATCACCAAATTTGTGGTAATCTGTTAAAGTAGCCATAGGCTATAAATACAACAGTCCATGTGGCTCATAGATTTAAATATGATCTCAAATTTGTTTTTTGGTTTTTTTTTTTGCCAATAAAGGTGACACGTTTATCTGCACTACTCCCATATATACACTATAAATTTAGATCTATGTTATTCTACATTGTCTACCCATTTTCATCTATCCCTGCTTAACATTCTGATCTCAGAACCAATCCACTGGTATCTAAACTGCAACAAACAGCATTTTATTCTTTGGTTACTAAGCTGAAATTGTCAAATAATTGGGAATGAAGGTTGACCTTTGTCAAATATCTTTTTTGATATCAGGATGCTTGTATGTCCTCCCCACCCCCCCTTGTAACTAATATGCATTATATGCTAATTGCAGTGTGATCAGAGAGTGTGACTTGTGTCTTGTGGACTTTATGGAAATTTTTTTAATGAATGATTTTTGTAAATGCTCCATGGGCACTAGAAAAGATGTACTCTATTTATTGGACAATTTGTTTAGAGCTGCGAGGATCATAGGGTGTGGCGAGCTAGGATACTCCGGCTGCCCAGGCATAAACAGCACTCCTTTTGACTATCAGCATGTCCTGATTTAGATGATAAATTATGCTCACTCTACTCAGAGGTAGAAGAGCAAGTGGCTAAGAGCACGGCCTCTTAAACAGGCTGCTCAGGCATGTGCCTTATCACTCTGTGCCGTTTCCTCATCTGTAAGGAGACATAACAGCCCATGGTGAGTGCCCAGTAATGCTGACTGGTGATAATCTGTCACATCAACCTTATTCAGGTTCTCCCCTAAGTCAGATTTCTTTACCTGATTTAGATATTTATCTCATCCTTATTTATTTTTGTCTTATCTGTCAAGATGCATGTTAAAATCTCTTGCTTTCACTGTACTTTTATCTTTTCCTTGTATTTCTACTAACTTGGCTATAATAATTTTGAGTCAAATGGAGGTCATGACAATTAGATCTTCATTATAAAGTCCACCAGGTATTGGTATAAAATGCTCTTTCTATCCCTGTGGAGGGAAAAAAGGTGGCTTTCTGGAATGCTAGCAAGCTAGAGGCAGAGATGCTGGCAAGGACACCCAACTCTGGCTTTGCTTTCTCTACCCAGGTAAAGAGGTGTGTTACGGCTGAGTTTGGTCCATGTTCCTTTAAACTGAAGGACACAGACTGTTGAGCAACTTTCTCCATAATGGGGGTATGAACCCTGAATTTAATGGGTAGCAGAGTAATAACCCTGCACTCTGCAGAGACCAGTCAAGGGCTGGTCCTGATGGGGATTCTTAAGCTGAGGGAGTGAGTGGTCCTGTCACGTGCTGTCTGTGCCTGCCAGGAGAGGCCACTCTGCTTCCTGTGAGACCATGTGATCTTGGGGGATGAGTTGACTTTCTTGACACTGGCTCATTACTTAATGAGTTCTGTTCTGTAGCAGCACTCGCACACAAACAAATCCAATTAGGCCTTGAGGCTAGAGATAGTGGGCACTGGAAGTCAAACAGAGTAGTTCCATGCACACAGACCTACTGGATTTGACTCTTCCTTGTGTAGCCTGAGCAGACATTTGGTGCAGATGCTCAAACAACACGTCTGAAAAACTGATGATGGACACATCAGATAATGGTCCTGGGTGGATGATGGTCCATAGAAAATTGGGAAGTCCTAGGCTGGGAGAGGGAAATATGAGCTACTTCCTTACCTGAACTGCAAGAGAGAAAAAGTATTTTCATTTAAAGTTATTATATATAAGGGCTTGAGCATTCTTTTCTCTGTACCAAAATGAGGATGGCCCAATGGCCCTCTACCCATTTAAGAATGAGCTTCCACTTAAGAACAGTTTCTAAACAAGTACTCTCAACTTAAGGCAGTTTCATGGATAAGATGACTATGGAAACAAAGATCCCAAAGGCAGTATCCTAAGGAAATGTCTGTGTCTATCCCAAATATAAGGAGAGGTTGCCTTCCAGCCATTTACAGAAGAGGTTGCCACCTTGTATTTCCATCTTCACAAAGCCTTTCATGCTATGGGGCTTTCTCTGAATCCCTTTATTTTGAATATCACAGCACTATTTAGATAAGTTACATTAGCCTGAAATGACCTCAATAAATACAAGTTTTAGATGCCTATAGAGTTTATCTGACAGGTTGGTTAACTTTTTTTTAAAGAGCAAAACACAGATTTAGTAATTATCCTTGAGTGTGACTTCCAAATTGAAGTGTTGGATGTTATTATAAAACTCACCTTAAAAACAGCACAGTAAGTAGCTGTGTATTTAAGTTCACATATATGGGCTTATGGGACAAATGAAAATACAGAAGTATCAAGTATCCAAATGTGCAGCAAACATGCAATTGGGCCTCAAGATGAATTTCCGGTGAGAGCATCATCAAGGATTCAAAGATGGAAGTGAAAATAATGTGTCTTGGAAAACTGTCAGATGACTCAGAAAGTGGCTCTAGTGATGATAAAGACCCGATGGAATGATTGTATATGAAGAATTTGAATAAAATCTTCCCATAACATGTGAGAGTGGGGAAAAGCAATGCTTCTCAATTTTATATAATATGTGATTAAATGCATCATGTGTAATACATATTTTATATAATATGATTTAAAATAGGACTAAAATGATAAATTTAATATTCACAGTAGTTATTTATTGCATTAGGGTTGGCCTAAAAATGTTTCTTTGGGCTTTTCCATTATGAAGTTGAGAGTGGTTGTCACATATTCAGAGGCACCTTGTATTTGGTCATGTGAATGATTTATGGATGCCCGTCCACCCCACACCAATGTTGGAGTTAGCTCCTTGGCATTCCTCTCTTTTTATGTCCTAGGCTCCAGGTTCAACAAGCCCTGTGCCTGCTTGTGCCCTTTGTCCCTCTGGCCAAGAGGAAGGACATGACATCTATATCAGACTGAACTATACATACTGGTTATTTATTTGTGATTTTTAAGGCTCATTAGGAAGCAGCTTAGTTTTCATTCCTTGGCTTCTTGTTGACATTTTCTTAAAAGGATGTGGTGCCTTTCCATACACACATGATATTAAACAACATCTATAAAGCCAGAGCAGTGGCCATGGCAAGAAACATACGGAAGCTTGACTCTTCTCTGTTTGAGGCATATCCTAAATAATGAAAGAAATGATGAGAAACATTTCTTGATTGTCTGACTAATCAACGATTAGTCAACAACTAATGAGATATTTTGTCAATTCCTTGATTAAAACTATACAAGAGGTTTTTATCCTTGCAAAATCCTGTCCTAGCAAAGGCTAAAGCGCTATCTGTAGAAATTCATAAACCCTTTAAGCTTCCAATTCAATTTAACAAACATGTCTTCTGAAACTTAATGGAAAATACTGCTTCTTCAGAGGGCTGGATTCACTGTGCTGATGTGGGTTTAAAACACAAATCCTAGAGGAATTCCATACTGCACACAAACGCAATTTCACAAACATGCACTTGGGAGTCTGTTTGAAAGTCTGTTAATATTTTCAAGTGGGAAAATTATCCTACATTTTAACTCAATCAGTCCTTCAAAAGTTTATTTTAAACTATCTTCTCTATAAAAACACTACTTTGGCATTTTAGAACTGACTTATACACAGCTCATAGGAAGAAGCCAAGAAAAAGCTACACACGAATCCCACTTCTTGAAAGGGACATGTTAGTACTGAAAGCTGTTGTTTTCAAAGCAATTAGGCCAATTAAGCCTGACAGCAGGATTTCAAGAGGGATGCTGTGCAGGCCCCTATCCACAATGAGAACTGCACTGAAGCAAGGAACAGCTGATACATGCAAAGAGATGCAGTTCTCAAGGGGTATGTACAAGCCTCTTGCCCTTGGAAAGGACCTAGTGAGGAGGATGATAAGGATGAGAATAATGATAACGAGTTTGGATTTCTGTTTAGTCCTTTTCAAAATGAGGAAGGTGTATCAAGAAGCAGGTCCCACCACCCATCAGTGAAGAGATTTGGTATATGGAGAAAGTCTGTGACTGATGGATAAGAGGACGAGAAAACCGGCCCAAATTTCCTGTGAAAGTTACTATTCCAAAGGAAGATCCTCATGCCATCAAGTATGTAACTACAAACAGAGTTTAAGGCAAAATAGGTAATAAGGAGATGTGGGGCTCTTATTTTTAAATTGATAAAACGTAGTTGATTACATAAAGGCCCAAATTAACTATAATTGTGAATTAAGCTCACTTCATGCCTGAATCAGATAGAACAGATTATACAGAAATATATCCATACAATATTATGGTGAAGATATATTTACATGCTGATTGACAGTACTAGATTTAATTTGGAAAAACAATATTGGGTTAAAACCAAAAGAGGACAGATTTTTAAAAATATTCTCATGGGCCGGCCAAATGGCTCAGTTGGTTAACAGCTCGCTCAAGAGTGCAAACTCTGAGTAACAGCGGTTCGATGCCCAGCCCAAGCTGAGCTGCCAACAGGTGGCAGAATGGCTCACTTAAAAAAAAAATCTCAGTTAGAAATACACTTGCTTTAAAAACTCTCTAAACTCACCACGATCATGTTTTCAGCACCACTATTCATGCTTAAGTCTCTAGAAACAAAGACGGATGATATGCCTCGGTTGTGTATTTCTTTTCTTTGTTCTATTGCTTAACAAGAGTCAGGAGGAGACGCACTGCTTCTGGAAGGCAGGTCCCTTGGTTGATGAACACTAAAAATAATGCATGCCTGGTTGGATGTGACTTATGGATCTGTGGTGGCAGGAGTGAAGAGCAAAACCTCAGCTCCTCAGAAACACTGGCTTTTCTTCAAGGACAGCGCAGCCTGGCACATAATCATTCTTTGAAGCAATCTGCAGCAGTAGCCAGCTCATTACAAAAGCTGGTGCGCAAGCATTAGACACAGACGACTCTTATATCCAAAACACATGAGAAATTACATTATTAGCTCCTTTGTAAATAAATACTAAGATTGGTTGATCCTGGATAGAGGAGGGAATATGTACTACCAGTCTTTTACTTGAGGATAGAAGACTTCAAATTCAGCTACTTCAGAATCACCTGAGAAGCTTATTAGAAATATAGCTGCTGAGCTCCATCTCAAAACTTAGATCAAAATCTCTACATTTTCACAAAACTCCCTATCCTTCATATCCTGATGATTCTGTGTCCCACAAAACTTGACAACTGCTGCTCTTGAGGACTGTGCTGCAATGTCTTATGTTGCAAATCATTAATATTTCTGATGTCCATACTCACGTATAAACCTTCAGAACAAAATCCTTTTCTTCCTTTAGTTCTGTGAGCGACTGCAGGACATCCAGGATGCTTAGGACTGCACAGCCATATGGTCGCCGGTAGTGCAGGTGGGCAGGGCCTTTCTTTGAGTCATTCAAAAGCATCCGGCCTAGGGCATAGCAGGAAACACCAAGTCAGACTGAGACCTCCATGCTCCTCTTCAGCATCCGTGATCATCATCCAAGGATGGCAGATACAGGCACTTTAGACATGCTCCAAATTGGAAGACTAATTTAGGACTGAATGGAGCCATCCAAGGATGCAAGGATATTTATGTGGAGGAATGCCAAATAAGCCTTTGGCCAGGGCTCTTCCCCTGAATCACATTCCATCAATCATCCTTATTACCTACTTCAACACCAAAGGTCCATTTATTAATTAGATGAGAATAAAACAGGAATTCCATGAATTTCTTAGAAAAACCAGTGTGCTAACAGATTTAAACTTCACAGGCATATGAAGGATACAATGTTTAGTGTTTAGCCAGGTAAAAACTATGTATGCACAAATAAAGAGGACAATGTGTTATTCTTCAACCAAATTCTGCTGCCAAAGCAGCTCCTAAACCATTATGGGAACAAGAGCATCTGAGAAGGTGGGTGGGACCTTGCTTTTCCTGCTTACCAAGGCTGTGCCTACAGTGGCAAGAGGACTTCCATGCCAAACAGGAACCTCAACAAATGCTTTATTAAGTAAAGAAAAACAAAAAACAAAAGTATAGCAAAACAGCTTTGCTGGCAAAGGATTAAAACAAATTCTTTGATAAAATGTATAAGATTTACCAGAACTCAAACCTATGAAGTAAGAATTGGTTAGTCATAGCCCCCTAAACTATGTCATAAACTTGAAATAAGGCTAGGGAAACCCACCACTGAACACTAACAAAAATCACTTTTTTTCATCTTGGGTGAGGTAGAAGTGAGACACCATCCATCTATTGCAGTAAAAACAATAACTCTAATTTTGTAGAAAATAGCACAGATACACCAAACACAGCAAAGGCTATTGACCACTTGTTAAGTTAGCAACCATGGCCACCTGCTATCGATCTCTATGGCAGAGGTCTGGTACAGAGGCTGGGCACCATGATGAAGAGAAGGCCAAAAAGGTGACCACTGAAAATAAGGAGTTTGGGTCCAAAACCAAATAGGGAGTAGAAGATTTCAAGTGAAAAAATTTATTATGTGAAATTCAGCTGAGCTTAAGGGAAAGCTCCAATACAAGCTAGACTCTGATCCTGAGACTTGACATAACAGGTAAGAGCTGGGGAGAAGACAAAGCTCATACATAGCAGATACTTATCCCCAGTTGGGCTTGTCTTAGTCACGTGAATGGATAAGGTGAACAGTACCTATTCGTATCACATGGGCAACTATATACAAATCTCTCTTCATATCTTTGCTGCTCAGATCCTAAGAAAAGAGAAAAAAATAAGTTAATTAAGGCAATGAGTACAGACAAAATAATTAAGATTTTAACTTGAACCTCATAATGGTTTGCTTTTGTCACTTTTAGCATATGTTATAGGTGGGGGAGGGGGGCTCAAGCACACAGCAATTTAGTGTTTATAAGATTCCTGCAGTAAAAGTCTGGATATCTTATATGCCTTTGGAAGTTTATTTTATTGATAATACTTTTCCAGCTCTTATTTAGAACACCTAACAAAAACTTACAGGAGTTCTCATATTAGAAATCTTCATGATATTGCCTTATCCATGTTTATGGATCTAACATCACATGAGAACATTTTGTAACAAAAGAAATGTTCAATGCAGGAAAAAATGGGAAAACACGAAAAATCTCACTAATGGCTGAAATTCTAGAAGTTTGTTCTTTGCTAATTTTACCTTTATTCCACTGTCCACAGTGATCATTGCACACTAGATATGTTCCCTTGAAAAGAGATCAATTTGCTCTTAGTGAAACCTCAATAATTTGATCTCCCTTTCTACATTTAGATACATATCATGTGTACTTCAGTATAAAGCTGAAAATAATTTTATCTGGAAAATTTCAAGGGCTTCCTTAAGTAAACAAATCTGATCCAGAAACTTTTAAAACCAGAGTTATGAAAAGAGTTTTATACATTATTTATGTTTAGAACACATTTTGAAGTAAAATGTTTATTCATCAGTATGTATTTATACTTCATTTAATACATTGTACTTGATACAATAAAACTTCCTTTAATATATATTCTGTTTCAGACATTTCACCAGGTCATCAGTCAACTCACTGCTCACTCCTAGCTACTGTTGTGAATTAATGATGATGGATGGAATAATCTCTGTCCTTAATGGGACAGGTCCTATGATTTCCCTTTTGCTTCTAGGAAAAGGTCCCTTAGTTCTATTTCTTTTCAATCTTTCATCTTTTGATTGGTCCCAGATGCTTGCCTCTCCCTTCAATAAAGCAAGAAAAGGGACGAGTGGCAGTCATTCTGAATGAGCTTTGAGATCCAGCGTCCCCATGTTTGCTTTATTTTTATACTCTGTTGTAGGGTTAGGACTAGGATGAGGCAAGCAAAGTACCTAAAATGCAAAATTTAAGGTCTCACTCTCAGAACCCTCTGCTTTGCTTGCCTCACCCAGTCTCAGCTTTGCCCTGTAGAGTGGTCCTGAACCTATCAACGCCAAGGAGACATTACAAAGTTATGTGCGGTGGTAAAACTGTAACTTTTAGAGGGTAGATAATTATAATATTTCACTAAATTCTTGATGGAATAATGAAAAGAGCTTACAATGATATAGGTAACAAGTTAATTTAACATAAATTGGTATCTCTGGAATCACAAAGATATTTTTACATGAAAGTTGTCTTTTGATATTAAAAAGGGTGTTTCAAACTCCATTTCACTAATTCCTTTAATTTAGAAATGGAATTTAAAATTATATCCTCAAAATAGCACTGCATTTTGACACTTATTGAGATGGCTACTAAATAACAAATAGATAAATAATAAAATAACAAATAATAAAAAATTTTGTGTGCTTTTTGGGACTGAAGCATGCCTATTATTGAAGGATATAGAAATGTCTGACACATTTCAAAGTGAAATGGTTCCTTCTGCATAGCTCGGATTATGTTAATCTAAACTATCAAATAATCACTATAATTATCAATCCCAATGTACCGTATTCCCCATGTATAAGACGCACCCTTTTTCGAAAAATTTGGGGTCTAAAAACTGGGTGCGTTTTACACAGTGGTTGTAGATTTTTTAACTTGCATTTCTTGCTTGTTTTTGCGCTCATTGTTGTAGATTTTTTTACAACGCACCCAGTTTTTAGACCCCAAATTTTTCGAAAAAGGGTGCGTCTTATACATGGGGAAATATGGTACCTAGAGAATTCAAGACAGTTACCAAGGATGACCAAACACTAATCAGATGGGTTGTACACAAGAACATAGGACCTCTATGCTTGGCTCCGTCTGAGTGAATAAAAGGAAGAAGATTTAAATATAATTTATGCTATTTTCCAGGTGGCTGGGTAGGGGTTCTTCCTGATCTTGTTGTACATGGTGTCAGAACTCTCTGTGGTATTTATTTGAGGTCAATAAACATAAGATGATAATGATCAGTGCAAGAGAATACAATATATTAAGTAAAATGAATATTTGTGAGTCCCACAAAATTTCAATGTCAAATTTTAATGTAAATTTATCTTATTAAATATAAGTTATTAAACTTACACTCTTCAAAACTAAGTACCAAGTGTGGCTATCCATATTAAAATACAAGACCTGTAAAACAAGATGGGAAGATGGATGACTCACCCACCATTTATCTGATGAGCAAGGTTTGAATTAAGATTTACTCACTGGACCATACCCTCCCATCCTACATAATTAGAAGCTGGTTCCCAACTACACTGTGAATAGAGAGGGCAGTGACTCAGGGCTCTTAGGCTCAGTCACTAATGTTCCATTTGAAACAGGGAAAAGTCCCTGTGCTCGGACTGCCTTTTTCTGTAGAGACAATGGAATTTACAAATATAAAACAAAGCCAATTTATTCATACTGTACAGCAGACAAGGAGGCAATATTTTAATATGTGATGTTATTATACTAATAATCAGATTCATTCTTTTTTTTCTTTTTTAAAAAAATTGTTTTGTCTTTTTTATTTTTATTCTATTTTTTTTTCTTTCTTTTTGTGAGGTTCATTCTTAATTCTAAGAAATCACTACCTAAAATTCTATTTTGAAATGTGGAAGAGTGTAAATAAATGTAGAAAATATAATGCCAACTAATGCAGGGAAAAATAGGACAAGTTCATTCTCTGAGTTGGTCACTCAAATATAATAAAAAGGAACATATATTCATTCATTTACATAATAAATCATTATTGCGGCCTTAGTATTTGCCAGGCACTATGTGCAAGACACTGGATACCTACCTAGTAATGAGGAAATGCATAGACATGCTGTCACATGCTCATACATACAGCCATTGCTGATCATGAAAGTCAGCAAAATCCTCACTGTATTAGACATTCACATAAATATGAAACACCTCCTCCTTGGATAAAATTCTTTCTGCATAGGAAGCTCTAAAATCTAACAAGGTCAGAAAAAAACCAGGCTTTCCAGAGAACAGGATTGTACCATGGGTAATGTGACTGACCACTGTGGCTCTGACGTCTGCTTGAGTAACCCTGCAAAACTGCTCCGTTTGTATGGTCCCCTTTTTTCTGATGTGAAGGTAAGCTAACAGGTTGACATGGACCACAGCTGTGGCTACATTCTGTTGCACTTAACTCTGAAACTTTGTAGCATATATGCCAATTTGGAAAACACCTTTAGTCCACAGGAGGAACTCAAGTGTTAGATAATGAGAAAGCTGTTTCCCCCAAAATTACTACTTAATAGAGCTTAAAGTAAAACACAAAAATCCTGGCTGAGACAATCTTGTTCAGAAATCTTGTGTGTTTTGTAAAAATTCCTCAAATCACTTTTGGGATCTCTGTAGAGAAATCGAGGGCTGTACTGCAAAAGGAAGATAGAAGAGGTTATTTTTAGCAGCCTTGTGCCTTCCGGTTGTGGCAGCAGAAGAGCACATCATGAGTGTTTCGTGCATCTCTGATTTACAAAGTTGGAGCTACAGCTTAGGCCTCTGGGCCCATGTAGATAATTAAAATGCTGTGAAATGAAAATTTTGATTTACCATAATCACATTCAAATATCATCATAATTAAGTTCGATTTTTTCAAGAGACAAGGACTGCACTCATCATATTCAAGGATAGCACAGGCCCACAGCTCTGTTTCCACAGTGCCAAAGAGCAAGGAATCGACAATTTCTTTTGCTGTTTTAACCAAATAATATCAGGGAGCCAGGATCTAGAAAAACCGCCTAAGGCTACGGAGACATTCGAGACAAGGGTGCCTCAGCTCTTTCTAATTCTGTTTCAGAAAGGCGGCCCCAGAGCACCACCACAGTGACCAGGCCGTCTCACGTCAGAAGCTCTCCGCCCAGTGCTCTAACCTAAGTCCCATCAACTGCAATTTGGACCCTTCCCCTTGTTTCTTTCCTATTGAAGAGAAAGTGTTGATCTTCACAGACAAAACCATCCCAACTGCCTTAACCATCTTCAGGGGTCTGCATCTCCTGCTCTCTCCTCCTACATTATCTCCTAAGCTTTGAATGCTGAGATCAAAGGTGGAGAAAATATTATTTTAGCTTAGCTAGATTTATAAATCTCCTGTACGTCTGGAGCACTTTCAACAAAAGCTATCCCTGTGAAAGCGGTTTCTGATTCAGCAGGAACACTATCAGAGATTTGAAAGAAAAAGTTGCTGTAAATGAAAAAAAAAGTACAGTAAAACAAATTCAATTTTATCTTTCAGAGTAAGTCACATATCATAGCACAAATCCCATTTGTGTCTAAGAGGTGCACTGCAAGCTCTGAGGCACCTGTCACCCATCAAGTACCACACAAGGGCAGTGGCACTGAGACCACATGCCTCCCCGCACTCAATGGGTTTTGATGGATCCAAGATCAGTAAAGCAGACCCAAAAATCCACGATAGTTAAAGCTAGTTTAAAACTGTGACACAGTCTTGTTTTCTTTTCCAGCACAGAAATTAACTAAAATAAAGCTGAGCAGTTAGTTAAGTGGGTAACAAAAACCCGACCTTAGTAAACCAGAATCAACTTGAAGAATACACAGGAAATGTTTTATTATGAGGCTTAGTTAGCACTTTCCAATAAGCAGATTATCAAGCCTTCTCTGAGATGATGAGTCCACAATCTCAGAGACCATGAATACCAGCATGGTTATTCAGAAAAAATCAAAACCACAGATCAGAGCAGGAAAAGGCCCTCAGTTTGGTATCTGAAAGAGCAAGACTATTTAATTTATCTCTCTTTATATCCATTCACTTAAAAAACTGCAAAGCTGTACATTTGATGGATACCTTTAGAAAAACTATACTTACACATGAGAGAAATTCCCAATGGCCTTGATAATAAGAGTAAAAAAAGACCCTTCTCAGATTTTAAGTGTCCGTTATATTAAATAGCTTCTAAAATCCACATCAGTAAAAGGTACTTGATTATATTCCTTTAATAAAAATTCAATTAAAAACTAATTTCAGTTTTCTTGAAATATTTCATTAAAACCTAATGGAAACACAAATCAAGTCCTACTCTACCCAGTGTGTGGGGAAATAAGAATAAACGCTTGTTTCTACGGTGACAATATCCACACAGCAGGCCCCTGGTTAGAGTCAACAGCAGAGAAGGGAAAGAGAATTTGCACATACTGTAAAAAGGGCACACATTCGTTCTATCTTCTCTGGGTTCCTTGGCCCACCATTCTTGTTCAGTCTCACCAGAAACCGCTCACTGAAATGTAGGAGAGAGACAGAGAAATGTAAGGGCCACATGCTCCCAGAACAAATAAAAAGGGCATTTACAGAGAAGCCCTCACAGTGACAGGCAAGGTCAAAAATACAAGTCTAGTGGTAAGATGCTCTTTTTCTTGCCAAACAACATGCAACGAACACTACAAACTGCCTGTTAGGTGCTGCTGTTTACTTGCTGTTTGTTGCTCTTATCTCCCTAAAGCTGTGTGCTCCCTAAAGGCAGCAATGAAGATTGTGTCTTATATTTTTCCCAAATATCCCCAAAGCTCCAGGCATAATTCTAAGCCCATAATAAACATATACATTCTTTGATGTGAATATTCAGATCATAAAAATATTCATATTAGATCCAAAATAATCTACATTATCCAATTTACATCTTCCATATAATTCTTGGGAATCATTTTATGGTTAAGAGAAAAATGTCACAGGGACATAAAAAAATTTGGGTGAAAAGTCAGAGCAATAATGTATTATAACTAAAGCTACAACCAGAATTTCATAGGGCTATTAAAATCTTTTATCCCCCAAACAATATAGGTTAATTCTTGAGAAATGTCTTCTGGCTCTCTCATTTCCTTACTGCCCCAGCCTGGGATCTCATTCCCATCTCTTCATCCCAAGGTTCCCTACTAATTATAACAAAAATACTGAGTCATGGAAAAGACAAAGTACGTGATTCTAAAAGTAACTGTGATTCTCTTATGCCCACAGTCATGTATGTACTTACTACACATGTGTAGTATCAATAAGAGGGCCAATATTAAAATATTGTAGAATTGTAAGATAGAATATCAACTGCACAGGTAGCTCAGTTTATGTATTCAATTGTTCATTTAGTCAACAAACAGTTATAAAGTTCTGTGTGCTAAACATGGAAATAGAAATGTAAACACAGTATATACAAGGTACTTTTCTCTATGGAGCTTGTGGTTCTGGTAGACAGTTAAATACTCAGAAATGCAGCTCAGAAAAGATTTGGGCCAGATAGTAACTTGAGATTTTTCAGCCAGGGGATTAGATGGGAATGAGGAGGGAATGTGCATAGAACAAGAAGAAAAAGGGCTTTGGTCAGAATCCCAAGGGACACATTGGTATTTAAGAAATAAGCAAAAGAAGAACTAGCAAAGTAGACACATCGGGACAAATAGAAAAACAGAAGAAAAATAAGGAGGATGGTGTAATGCTGTATTAGTCAAGGGAAGAAAGAGGAGGGAGGGGTCAATGAGACACAAGGCTACTGAGAATCATATGAGACGAGACAAAAAGTGTCCACTGGATGTCAAACAGAGGTTACTGGTGATTCTGACAGGAGCTGTTCTAGTGAAATGGTAGGGAAAGAGGCCAGAGGCCAGTGTGAGGAATAAAAAGTGAGGAGGAAGAACTGGTGTCTAGACCACTCTTTAAAGAATGGCTGTGACCAGGTGGGGGTTATGAACTTGTAGTTGAATGGGCATGTTGGGTTGAGGTCTTTGTTAAAAGATGAGATAACCCAAATGTATATACTCAATTGATTACCAATAAAGGTATCAAAATTCAATAAGGGAGCATAGTAGTTTCAATAAATGGTACTGAACAACCCATATAAAATAATGAACCTTGATCCTTGCCTACAAAAAATTAACTTGACTGGATGATAGACCTAAACATAAAAGCTAAAACTATAAAACTGTGTTTTTATAAAACTTATAAAACTTTAAGAGAAAAATAAAGACAAGTACCTTTGTATATTTTGTTCACATTTGTATTTCCATATTTAATACAGAAAACCCTTTGCGATCTTGAATTGTTAAGCAAATATCATAAATCAGGACAAAGTAATAAACTAGACTTAATAAAAATTAAAAGCATCTTCTCTTTGAAAGACATTGCTAAGAAAATGAAAGATAAGTATAGACTGAAAGAAAATATTTATAAACACTCATCTAAGAAAGGACTGAATTGAGATGAGCATATAAAGATCTCTCTGAACTCAATAAGAAGTTAAAAGAACAGACAAAAGATCTGAACAGACCCTTCATATCAAGGAATATACAAGGATGGCAAATAAGCTCAAGAAAACACCATTAGTCATTAGAGAAATGTAAATTAAAAGCTCCCTGAGATACCACTACACACCTACTGAAATGGCTGAAATTAAAGATTAAATATACCAATGGTTGGTGTGAATGAGAGCAACTAGAACTCTCATGAACTGCTAAGGGGAATACAAAATAGTATAGCCACTTTGGAAAATGGCCTGACAGTTTCTTATACAGTTAAACATATGCTGGACTAAATGATCCAACAATTCTACTCTTAGGCATTTACTCAGGAGAAATGAAAACACATGTCCACACAAAGACCTGTATGTGAATGTTTATAGAAGCTTTATTCATAATAGCCAGAAACTGTAAAGAAGATGTAAATGTATGAGTGAAAACTATAAAACTCTCAGAAGAAAATATTAATATAAATCTTCATGACCTTGAATTATGCAGTGGCTTCTTAGGACACTAAAAGCATAAGTAATGAAAGAAAAAATAGATGACTTGGACTTCATCAAAATTCAAAACTTTTGTGCTTCAAAGGGCACCATCAAGAAAGGGAAAGAAAATCTACAGAAATGGGAGAATATATTTGCAAATAATATATCCGATAAGGGACTTGTATCTCGACTATATAAAGAACTCTTACAACACAATAATAAAGAATACACATTACTAGAAATTTCTCCAAGGAAGATAAACAAATGGTCAATAACGACTTGAAAAGATGTTCAGCATCATTAGTCATTAGGGAAATGCACATCAAAACCACACTGAGTGTGCTACTTTACTTCTACCAGAATGGTTTTAATAATAATAAAAAAAGACAGATAGTAAGTGCTGACAAGGAGATGAAGAAAATGGATTCATTATTTACTGCTGGTGGGAATGTAAACTGGTATAGCCACTTTGGAAAACAGTCTGGCAGTTCCTCAAAAGGTTAAGCACAGCTTAACATATGATCCAGCAATTCTTGTAAGTATATATACAAGAGAAATGAAACTACATGGCCACACAAAACCTTTATGTGAATGTTCATTGCAGCATTACTGATAATAGCAAAAGGTGAAAACAACCAAAATATCCATCAGCAAATTAATGGATAATCTCAAGATCCATCCATGTTGTTGCAAATAGCAGTATTTCATCATGCTAAGCAAAATAAGTCAGACAGAAAAAGTCAAGAACCATTTGACCTCACTCATGTGAGATATATAACTAAAAGCAACAAACGAGCAAGATAAACAAAGAAACAAAAACACATAGACACAGGCAACAGTTTAGTGGTTACCAGAGGGTGAGGGGGGAGGGAGGGTGGTAGAAGAGGGAAAAGGGGGTTAAGTATATGGTTATGGAGGGAGAAATGACTCTGGGTGGTGAACACACAATGCAATTTATAGATGATGTATTCTGAATGTACACTTGAAACCTATATAATTTTACTAACCAATATCACCCCAATAAATGTAATAAGAATTTTTTTTCAATAAAAAACAAATTAATCGATAAATAAAAAGTGGTATGTATATCTATACAATGGAATATTATTAAGCCATAAAAAGAACGATATACTCATACATGCTACAATGTAGATGAACCTCAAAACATTATGCCGCGTGATAGAAGCCAGTCACGAAAGACCACATTTTGTAAAATCCCATTTCTATGAAATGTCCAGAATAGGCAAATCTATAGAAACAGAAAATAGATTAGTGGTTGCCTAAGGCTGGGGGTTTGGGAAGAAATGGGTACTTCTAAAGGATATGCAATTTCTTTTGGGAATGATGAAAATGTTCTAAAATTGACTGTGGTAATGGTAGCACACCAATATACTAAAAGTCACTGGATTGTACCTTTTGAATGGATGAATTCCATGGTATGTGAATTATATCTAACAAAGCTGTTGCAAAAAACAAGCAACTAACCTTTTCAGGGCTTAATCTTGCTCTTAGATAAAACAAAAGTCAGCTCTCCCAAGATATGCAAGGCTTTGTGTGGGCTATTTGGCATATCTTCACAGCTCCATCTCACGTGAGCCTTTCTTGTTTACTACTCTCCACACACACTAGTCTCCTAAACACAAGTTTCTTGAACAAGTCAAGCTCATTATTGTCTTAGGACCTTTGCACATGCTGTTACCTCTGTCTGGAATATTGTTGTTTCAGCTCAAGTGGTTCAGCTAATATGCCAGTTTCCCAGAGAAGCCAACTCTGATGATATTAGCAAAAGCAATACTTCTTCTTTCCCCGGGAGCCTGTCTGCTTTACAGCACTGGGCACAAGGTTATTATTTTCATTCTTTATTTGTTTATTATCTTTCTCTTACATGAGAGGATGCATTCCCAAAGGACAAGGACCTTTGTTCACTGCTGTATTTCTAGTACTTCCAAGAGCCTAGGTGCTCAATAAATGTTGAATGAAAGAAAGTGGAAATTCCCTGAAGAGCTGCTGTGTAGTATGTGGAAGCTTGCTCACAAAGGTCACCAGAAACTGGAGGGGCAGCGTCACCACACTATGTGGAAACACTGGTTAGCCAAGAGGGAGCAAACAAGATAGTCGGCACAAACCCACCTTCTAACTTGGTGGCCAAGGACTGAGACGCATCAAGTATATTGTGGCAGAGGGACGCTCCCAGCTGCTCAGTAAAACCCATGTTCTCTGTTTCTTCTTGGGCAGCCAGACAGACTACACTTCTCAGCCTCCCTTGCGGTTGAGTGTGGCCTTGTGACCGAGTTCTAGACATTACAATGTTGATGATGGAGGTGATGTGCACCACTTCCAGGCTCAGCCCTAAACCTCTTCCGCGTGTGCGTGCCTGGGTGCTCCTTCCCCTTCAGGTGCTTGAAGTGGAGATGACCCGCAGGGCAACCTGGGGGCCACGCACTGGCCATGGCTGAGTTACCAAGTGGTCTGAGTCCCTGAATGATTGTGTGGATGAGAACCACCTACTTACT